AACCCCCAGGAAAAGTGTGTATTCAATGAAGATTAAGAAAGATTTGGTACCTCAAATGATGACCTAGATCGAGCTGAAGATCCTGTGCGCCGTTCCCACGTCGTAGAATATGGAAGAACGGGTATATATGATGTACGGTTGAACGAAAGCAGGGTGGACAGCAGTTGAAGAAGACGAAGCAACTTGTGCCCAGGTTGTGTTTCGTACTTGGAAGAGTGTAGCGGAACGTGGTTGAAGGGCTTGTCAAGGTACGAAGAAGCAACAACTTATGGTACGAAAATCAACACCCGTCATGCACGGCACCTCATGCTATCGCGCCTTCAATTGACAGTCCTCACTTGTCGACTGATTGGCTTGGTCACGATCCCTCTTCCTCATTCAGCAAGCAGCATTCACGGACGCAAGACATATAAGACAAACAAGCCAACATGGCCTCAAAAGCAGTCACGAAGGCCCTGCCGCAGGCCCTCAAAGAGGTGCGGCTGCACCTCTGCCAGTCCGGACCCAGGTCGGCCGGGTTGAGGTGAGTGCCTGAGCCTATTTAGGAGTCGGGTAGGGCACGCACAGGACTTCCCCTTCTCCGAACCCTGGATGCCTGCCATGGGATGCTCGGATTGCCACCTCCGAGTGATGGAATCGCAGCACCACGCTCAGTGGCTGATCCGTATTCTTATTCTCACTCGACAGGCAATACATCCAATCGAACTACAGCTTGCTTAAGTCCTCTAATCCAGACCTTCCCATCCTGATCCGGGAAGCAAGCGGGACACCAGCGCGAGCATTCGCGAGATTCGGTGAGTGTGTCGTCATGGGCCGCTCGCCGAAACATCTCCGACGCTTCGCTTAGGTGGTGACTGACGACCGAATTCGTATCCTCTGCGGCTAGATCGAGGGGTCGAGAAGTCTGTCGAGCTCGAAGGGGCGAGCGCTTCGGATGTCGAAAAGAAGCTGTCGGATCTGCTAACAGGCAGCGCATAAGAGAAACGCTTGTAGCACATGTCTCAACGTAAACATTGCGAGGATCTGACAAGTGGTAGAGAGCAAGGTCGCACGAAGAGGCCCGGCTGGAGAGGCTCGTTTGATTGAAGAGTATCCATGAACGGAGCACCAACGGTGGGTATAGGCTACATGGGCTATGAGACCAATGCGATGCGCAATTCTGTCCAGTGCGACAGTTCGGACTGGACGCGCGGGAGGGAGGCTGATACTCGTCCGCCAGGGTCCTGCGAACGTCACCAGGAACGATCAGATCAAATCAGCGCATGCTCGAATCATGTCGAGCTTCTCATTACTTGTGCAACTCACCGAAAGCACTTTGCAGACTGCGTCGTAGTAATCCGCCAGAATCTCCATTTCCGGCTGCACCCCCGCGCCATCCTTTTTAGCCTGCTCCTTCGCGACGACCTTTGCACCTTCCTTTGCAAGCCACTCAACCTCATCGCGCAAGCGCTGCACGCTGCCGAACAGCATCGTCTCGTTCTGTTCGTCCGAAAGCTGGAGGAGCGATAGGAACAGTCTGGCGTAGCGCGTGCAGACCAACCGGATCATCGCGAGCTTTTCTGCGGTGCTAAAGTTACTTGTTGCATTTGCCGCGGCGTTGACCAGGCCCGTCAGGCCGGACCAACTCGTCAAGCCCGCTACAACCCCCGCTGCTGTTGCTGCAGTTCCCGCGGTGCTGGACCCGGTCGAGCTGCCACCGCCGCTGATGTTGCTGCTGCCACCGCCGATATGCGATCGGCCAGCTGTGCTGATGCCGTAGTTTGTCATCATTTTGCGCAGGCTCCCAATATGCTCGTCGAACGACCGCTGGATCAATGGCCAGGCGTTAATTTTGAATGTCAGAAGCGGGCCCTGCAGCACAGATGCTGCCCCGCGCGCGGTCGCGGCGGCCATCAATGCCTCGTTGAGCTTCACCATGCAGAGCAGCGAGAGTAGAGGGGGGGGTGGCGTAGAACTGAGCAGTGCTTTGGTGAAGGTCTGACCGAAAGATGGGTATATATTAGCCTCAGCTTCAGTCAAACCATCTACACACCCCAACTTACCGTCCAGTGCCCTAGAACAGGCTCCATGACCTGCTTCCACAGCTCATCTTCCACGCCTTTACCTTTCCTCGCCCGCTGTTCCTTGAGCGTGAGTCTGACAATTGTGTGTCCAAAGTCATCCGCTGGCGAACCCTCTGCTTCGAACGCGCCATCTGCAGTGATGGCAGAGCGCATGCCACTTTCATCTTCACCGTCGTGATCTTCGGCTCGGCCCCCAAAAACGCTCGCGCTTTCTTCGGGTGCCGGACTGGTGTAGTCTGTCCCTACCGACGTTGCGGTGCGTGCGCTGTGCGGAGGCTGTTGTGAAGTCTTCGAATGTTGCTGTTGGCGGTTCTGCTGCTGCGCGGCCGGCGTCATGGGCATATTGCTTGCACCTTCCGCGGTGGGGGACGCGACGTTGAGGAACGTCGACGCTCGTGAGCCTCCACCGGAACGCGATAGATCGAGGCTCGGGCGCGAGCTGTCCGCGATACTTGTGCGCGGCGTCACTGATGCAGCCATTGCACTTCGCATGTCTCCCTGCAGCGAGCGCGATGGGCCTGCCTTGTGTCGTGGCGGTGGGAGAGACTCGAAGAATCGCACGAGAAATGTGTACTCTGAGCAAGCATTATCAAGGAAGGTGAGGGCCATCGAGCGGAAAAGTACCTCGGGTGTCGCCTTCTGCGTATTGTAAAATGCCACATCGTTAGCGCAAAATGAAATATCTTGTTCGCGGCCGGAGGTAGGAGACGACTCACAAAGAATGGATTATCTGCCATGTAAGCGAGAACGACGCCGGGCCCATCGAATTGGCTTTGGGCGAAGCGTTCGTCATCTAAAATGAACAGCTTGTCCTCCTTGTCGAGCTGCTCGATGTATTTCGCTGTTGCGCTACCACCGCCGGCTCGCGCGAGGAGCGAAAGTGCGACGGCACTCATGCTGCTGGGCGAGGTGTCGCCGATGAGCATATCTGCCGCACTGCCTGCTGAGGAAGTGGGGGTGGGAGCAGCTGGTAGATTGCTGCTCTTTGCAGCAGCAGGGATAGATGCGGAAACATCACCTGCACCTTGCTCGCCAGCCCCAGCTCTGCCACCGGAACCGGAAAATCTGACACTGCGCGCTCGGATCTTCTCCAGAGCTCGCGTGTACCTCCTGAAGCCCGTCTCAAAGTAGAGCCTTGCAGCGGCAAGGTAGACGCGCTGTACGTCGATCGCAACACGCGGTGCCTGTCTGGCAAGGAAGGCGTAGAGATTTCGATGTGCAGGCTTGAGTAGAACAGACGTTTGCAAGACCTGCAAGTTGGTGCTAATTTGCGTCTTGAAGGGATGGAAGTAAGATATTAAGTACGGTCGCAGCTTGCGCACTGCAATCGATAGGCAGGAGAGCGCTAGTGTCCGTGATTCGAGGAGGATGCGTGACTCGGGAGGAAGGGCCGTGTAAGCACCGGCTGCATTGGCGGCAGATTCTGTTGCCGCCGCGGTGCCGCCTGATGGTGTCGAAGGTAGCACGGCGGACATCGGTGTCGAATGATGGGTTGTCGTTGTGGCGGCGGCACCTGCCGCTGTCGCTGCATGGTTGCTGGCGAGCTGAGCGACGCTCTGCGTTTGATCCAGCACCCTCTCCAGGTCTTCACAAGCTTCCAACCAGCCACCTTGTTTCGGCTCCGAGTCAAAGAAGAGATCGACAAGCCTGGGGCTGAGCGCTACCTGCCCGATTAGATTGCTCAGCAGCCGATCCAACTGCCGCCTGCCGACTAAGCGAGCGTCGAGCGCATGTGAGCGATCCTGCAGGTCGGAAATGTGGCCCGAAACATGGGACAGATCTTTCTGAAAGGAGGACAGGAAGGATGACAACGAGTCGAGCAACGAGAGTGACAACTGCACTTCGGAGTGCAGCGCCAGAAAAGAGGAGCCTGAGTTGTAGTACTCAACGTCGAGTTTGCGTTGTTTGCGATTCAGAGCGGCGGTCACAGACGTGGAAAGCTGGCCGATGGGGATGCCCTTGAGGTCTTGCAGCTGACTCGTGCCGTCATCGCCGAGGCCCGCCTCGTTGTTCGCCATGGTCACTGGCCCTTGCTGTGGGGATGGCCTCTCCTGCTCGTCCCGTTCTGTCGCTACTGGATCTACCAAGCGGCGAAGAACAAGACCCGCTAAGAGTGACCAGGGTGGTCGCGTAGATGTGAAATGCCATTGCGGAATGAAGTGTGTACAGTGATACATCGACGTCGTAGTTGATACCTTTACGGAGCCCCTGCATCACATACGCGCTCTTTCATCATAGCATCCGCCCATTATCGACTATTTCTTCTACTTGTCGCTATCGGATCTGCTTCGGTACGCCCCTTCTAACCAACACTGCAGGCCTCCCTATGGACCAGGCCGTGTCAAGCCATACCGACTTGGAAAACGAGGTCACCGTGATGCTTGATGGGTCATGGCAGTTTCAACGCTCCCACTTGTACGTCTGATCGTTAAATTCTCTAACCAGGCCGAGGTGCATTCATCCCGAAACAAGCTTGACATAGCAAAGCCGAATAAAGATTCATACGGTCTTGGTCTCAATGCACATATCGCGCGCTATTCCATTGTCGTAGTAAGCTTGCCGAGCTACTTGAACCCCAACTAGTGTTTACCGGCCAAATTGCTCCATCCAGGGGAGGGGTGTGGGCAGCGGGGCATGGATGCACCTGGGCGCCCAGAGGATGCACACTGATGACTTTGAAGCACACTCATGTATCAATCGCCTGCGAAGATGTAAACATGCTGGACCTCTGGAGGAAATTGACAGCCCATCAGCCCTCCACCGCCAAAGGAAGGACAAAAGTAGGAAGAGGCGCTATGTCCTTTCAGGATAGACATGAGCAAGAAGCTCCTCGCTCCTGCATTTAGCTCCCTTGAAAGGCCCATTCCTTTCCTGAATGGCTATCAACGTCGGCGCTAGCCTCCATACAATATTCAGCGCACCTTTAGCACAAAGGACTGCGAGAACACCTGCTGCGAACGAAGTGCGCAACTGCGACTCCTTCATGTGTTGTATAGGAACCGCTCAGGAGGGAGTAGATGAGCGCGAGGGCTTAGAGCGCGCCACACCGTATCCATGAGTTTTGCGGCTGAGATGGCAACACCGACTTGTATACATGTTGAAGAGACATCTGCTCTCGCCGCCTGACCTTCATCACTCACCACTTTCCATCAACACCATACACCGCAAAAGGCCCTCTCTCAGTCCTGTAGGATGCTGCCTTTGATGCTTCGTGGCTTTGCTTGATTAGAGATTCGCTCAGCGAGACCAGCGCTCGGCTGCTGCGTGCCAAAACTCAGGAGGGCGCAGCGCGGTCGCGCCCCGTCGCTACTCATCACTGCTTTCGGGGCTCCTGAGTCGCTCAAGTCCTGACCTGGCGCCCAACTGGTCTATACCACGACAGGTGCAGCATCACCCAAAGTTGACTGTGCATGGACAGTAAAGTTCGCAGCGATGCATGCGCGGAGCACCTCGCATGATGGCGACGGCAGTTTTGGATTACACGATGGCGGGAGCGGTTCTGGCACTGGCACCAGCATCTGCGATAAGGGCCGCGAAGAGGCCAAGAGCAGCAATATCAACAAGAATGTCAGGAAGCATCGAAGCAGCACTGCGCGAACTCGGGAGCGCCTGCGTTCGCTGACAAACGGCAAAGTGAAGAGCTTTCACACTGCACAGCCTTCCCCTGCAGCTGTCGTATCTCTGGAGCAAATTTCTTCTGCGTTCGGTGCAGCATCATCGTCAGCAACAGCAGTCGCAAACACTGCCAACCTTTCCAATACTGGAAAAGAAGCGGAGGCGTTCACCTCAAGCAGTGTTGGGAGCACTGCAGGCGGCTCTGCGTCAAGTAGCTCTACGTGCGCATCTACGGCCTCGACCTCGTCCGGGTTCGCCGCGCAGCAGCCGTCCTCATCCTCTTCGACCTCAGCAGCGACAGAGCTGGATGATGAGGGAAACAAGGACAACGCACCCACACTTCCGTCTTCTCCCCGCTCTGTATTCGCGCGGGCGCTCGAAAACAGCAGCAGCAGCACGAACAGCAACAAGCCTAGAGGGGTCCGGCAGAATCGAGGCGGATCCCGAGATCGCAACCGTAGCCAGTCGGCTGAGGGCGTGCTGCTCGCTGTGCAAAGCAAGCATCAAGAGGCACTTGTCGCTATGAAGCACTCTTCGAGTACACACGCTCGCCAGCAGAGCAACAGCAATGGCAGCGGTAGCAGCGGCAGTCCACACAGCCGCGAACTGGGCAAACTGCGCGAATCTGCAGCAGAGGGTGTTGCGGCCCAATGTGGAATCACATTACTCGCATTCCCGACCTTCGCCTCCCCCGATGCTGCAGGGACTTCTTCCGCACTGTCGACATACAATAGGCCCAATGAACAGCAACCACCGGAATCTGTGCAACTTGGACACGCGCAGCTACATCGCAGCAAGACGGCTGCCCTTGTCGGCGGGGGCAAGGGCGAACCTCCCCCGCTCTCAGGAGCGCCGCCGTTGACCGTTCCGCTCCTTGGGTCTTCTGCAAGGCAACAACACCAGGAGCAGCAGCAGTATGCCTACGCACCCAGCACGCAAGAGCCCAGAGCGCGCATCGAGAGCCTGCGGGATCTTGTCGGCCAGCGTCCACAATCTGATGGGCGAGGGGCAGCTGCCTCGACATCCTCTGGCCATCAACACCACTCGTCGCTAGGCAGAGTTAGCGCCAGCAGCATCATGAGGAACAACAACACCATCAACAATGCCGCACCGAGCAACGTGCAACCGAGACGGCTTCACCCGTCTTTGCAGAACAGCTTGGGCGCTATCGGGCTGAATCTAACCTTTACCAAAAATTCTTCAGCAGGAGCCACGGCAGGGAGCGGAAAAGCAGGTTTCTCAAGCCCAGGCGCTGGCGCCGGGCAGCAGCAGGCACCAATCTCTCCGCCTAAGTCTACCAATGGAGCGAGCAGCGCGGATACTCAAGGAAGAAGTAGCGACGGCATGCTGAGATCTGCGCATTCCTTCGCAGAGAGCCAGCTCAACAACAATCGAGACGACAGCCGAGCTCGAGCGTCCCAACATCAGGAACGCATGCACAGGTCTTCTTTGCGAGGCGTTGGAGGCGTCGCCCATGCCGCTAGTTCGCCCGCAGCCGATGGGTTACCATCGTCAGCTGGTGGTATCCGGCCTCCCACGCGTCCCAGCGCTCGCCCAAGCACGAGCGCCAACATTGGCGCAGGTGCACTCGAAGCCAAAGTCGTGATTTTAGGCTCGCAAGGCGTAGGGAAGACGTCGATCGTTCATCGCTATACGACGGGTCAATTTAGTGCTGCATCGATGCCTTCGACCATCGGCGCTTCCTTCCTGACCAAACGCCTGATCGTCTCTGGGACGAAGATACGCTTACAGATCTGGGATACAGCCGGCCAGGAACGCTTCAGGAGCATGGCACCGATGTACTACCGCGGCAGCCATGCGGCGATCATCGTCTATGATATCACGAATCGCAAAAGCTTAGTGGATCTGCGCAGCTGGATCGAAGAACTGCGCAAGAACATGGGAGACGACTTGACAATCCATATCGTCGGCGCGAAGAATGATTTGGAGCAGCACCGGGAAGTCACGTGAGTTTCCTCCACTGGAAACAATTTCAGTTGTCGGGACATAATCTGACTTTCGTTGCATGCCAATATTGCTTTGCAGACTGGAAGAAGCTAGGCAGCTCATCGAATCCTGGTCCGCATTCATGAGCCCTGTGCTGGCGGAGGACGGAGTTGCTGCAACGCATCCTAGACATCAGCTCATTCCGCAAGTCAAGGTCACACCACCGACGCGGACCAACTCGCGCATCAGTCATTTCGCCAACCCGCTCTCCGTCTCTCGATTCGGCTTTCCCTCGTCGCCCTCCCAGGCGCGCGACTCCCTGCGAGGCGCGCAGGCAGGCATCGTGTCGTCCGAAGACGATCCGCAGCTCGCAGCCGAGCGTGTGTTCTGGCACAACATCAAGGTCAGCGAGGTATCTGCCAAAGAGAATGCTGCGGGTATTGAGGATGTGTTTTACCGGATCACAAAGGAGCTGGTCGAGCGCAAGGAAGCAATCGAACGCGAACGCGCCGGCCGCGAAAGCGATAGCATCATCCTCGCTACCGACAGCGTCAATGCCACTGGACCTAATAGTTCCGCTTCCAATGCTTCGGGCTGGTCCTGCTGCAGCTCATGACACTTGCAACCCTGGTGGGTTTACCTGCCGCCGCTGGCTCGGCCCGCGCCCGTCCTCGAAGATGGTATTCTTTGACGACTCTATCGCTCTAGGTTTTCCATCACACCCACACGTACTATCACGCAGAATTGTTGAGCTTTCAGAAAGTGTACATCACTGCGGTCGTGCTTATTCGATAATGATAATGACATCGCCATGCAAACATCGAATGGCGGGGGGAAATCCGAGATGCTTGCGATGTACGTCAAAAGGACAGCTCGACGCTTGCAAGGAGCAAAGATGCAAGTGGAAGAACACTTGATTGGGAGCGATCGAACCATCCACATAATTCAAGTCGTTCAGGTCTGCTGCGGTGATATGACAGACGCTGGCGATCGTGCTGAACACTGCAAAGGTTGGCACGATAAGCTCGGAGCCTTTTTGATGCAGTGAGTTGGTGATCAGATTGAAATTTGCTGTCCCAAAATATTGCCCGTCCTTTGCACTGCTGCTCGCTGGTTCTCCTGGTCCGCAAGGCCCTTGTCTATTTACTCCCTCACCTGCGCCGCTTCGCCTTGTCCTCTTGCTTTACAATCGCTACAGCGTCGGGCCACTCGCACGAACCAGGAGAAACTCTGGTTAGATCAGAGCCATTTGCCTTGGCTGCGTTCTATGCACGATGGCAAGCACCACATACAGGTCGCACGGCATCACAGCGCAGCTTGCGCTTCTCACAGCTCGTGCAGGCACTGTTAGGCAAAATGGGTGGGAAGGGCTTGTCGGACCTACCTTCCCCGATATCCTCGCCAGCAGCTCCACTAGAGGCGTTTGCGCCGAGCGATGCTTACTGTTGAGTTTCATCCCTGATCGTGGGCATCCCGACTGGACCAGCTGTGTTGAGTTGAGACAATAAGATATCCGTTGAGGCACGTGGGGCAAGTTGACACAAATTGCAGGGGAAGCCCTGCGTCCCATCCTCGATGTCTAGTACCGAGGGATTGGAAAATGGCATGGACGGCTGATTCATGGCAACAGGGTGCGTTTACTCTAACATTGGAGCAAATGACAGCTACTGCCAAAGAGAAGCGGAGTTTGCAGCCGAAGAAAATATGGTGTTCGACCCTGCTCCTAGAGAAGTTGGAGGAAAGGGTTGCAGCGGCCATACCACGCTAAATAGTGATGAATCAGAAGTATTGACTTTGAAAATGGATAACAACACCTCGCTGCTGAATTCCAAGCTGATGGATGATGCTCTTGGACGTTTTCATCCTGCCACTGGCAACCTTATGGCCCAGACCTATGTGTGGTCGGAGGAAGCTGCCGCTAGCTCTACACAATTTCCCTGACGCGAAGTTGCCCGAGGAACCATCTTTGAAGGTCTCCCATTCCACTCCCGTAAAGTTGTTCGATTTCTCAGAATCGGCGGCGGGTTGACGAGGGGAGTTGGACCGACGAAGGAGCAGTGAGCGGAGTCAGATGAACGCAAAATACCACCGCTCGTTCCAGTCGCTGCAGCGAAAGCACTAATGTGGTCGTTGAGCGGCACAGCTTCGAGCGAGATGTTACTGTACCAATGGCTACCGTGTTCTCGGGAAAAGACTTCTTGGTGCTTCTGCTGATGATGATGCTCATGGAGCAAATGATGCTCATCTGTGAAGATCAGCTCCTTATAGTATGCGGCGTAGAAACAGTGAGGATGCGGATGGAGGTCATAGTTACACTTGCTCCGCGTCCTGCCCTGAGCGCCGTGGGCTTGCATAGGCCAAGGTCAATCTCCTACCTTCGCCCCTGCTGATCGGCAATATATCAATGTGTTTAAGACATACGTGCTTCCGAGCATCCAGAGTTCCACGACGTTCTTCGAAACGTTGAGTTGACGTGGATGTCAGGTGCATTGTAGCATATTTGAGGCTAGATTGATGGAAATGCAGCTTTCTGCTCGTAGCTGCCGCCTTTGTGACAATTGTGCTTCACTGAGGCTCCGCGAGACTCACATGGTCTCTCGAATCACCGTGGGGACTTGATGCATACTCGGACTCACCGCGGACGCAGTCAGCACTCCCCATTGAAGAGAGCGAAGCTGAGAACGAGACTTGGTCTCCGCAGACAGGGGCGATCGCCAAGCTTCGAGAGCTTCTCTGAGTATCATCACAAGGGTGCAACGCGAGGGCCAGCGGCCAGCGCAACACAATGTCTCATTGGTATACAAAGGGAACTGCAGGATCAGTGAACAACTTCCTTTGATCCAGATATTGTACACTCCAGTTTGATGTTCCTCCTGGCAGCTGGTGAAGTGACCTCTTAAATCTCGATGATTTCAGCTGAAAGTTGTGTTTTGGCTCGTTGAAGCCAAGAGAGTACGGGTATATTGCGCCAAAATCCAAGGCGGTCGCATATCAATGCGCGGTCGGACTGCTTGTGTAGCTTGGGTTCCTTTCCGCACTGTGGCCAGTCCTCTTGTCGTCCCCCCCCCATGCCTAAAGTGCTCTGTGCACAGGTACAAACTCATACAGCTTCTTGCTGGGCTGTGGCCGCCCCTCCCGCTCACGGCGTGCATGCCAATGCGCGCGGGTGGTAGTTCATGAATAAGCCTAAGCGAAAGACGGAGATCAATGATGCCTTGAAAGGGGCGGGAGTGGCAGTGCCGGCCTGCCAGTTGTTATGCATCATCTATTGAGGAGAACTAATGCACGTGGTCTTCCGAAGGCGATACGGCTCTCTCCGTAAGCTGTCATGCTCACGTCTCGTTTCCTTACGCGCAGAGGAAACTCCGAACGGCAAAGCAAGATGTGTAAAGGAAAGGAGTCGTACCGGCTTTCGAGAAGTGGTCTTTCACTCGCCCTCCTGTTTGCAGCGGTTGACGGATACATAACGCCCTGCATATCTTGGTAACTTGAGCCGGCCGCACCTGATGCTGCCGGAGGCGTGGACAACTTCCGGCGTCGTCGTGAACCTCTTTGCTCACCTAAATGCGCACCGTGACCGTCATCGGTCGGTTACTAGGATTCGTCGACCCTTGCCGCAGACGCCTCGAACACTTCGTCAAGGTTGTCACGTCTGTCCATAGCTCTCTTTGTGGGTGATAGCTCATGTGGAAAGGGTTACCAACTTGACTCAATCCACCATCTGATCGATTTCCCTGTTGTTTTCCGGCACTGGGCTGCCTCCGCCTCAAGCCTTAAGCCTAATTTCGGTACCATCTTGGCCAATGGAGATACGAGTTATCAGACCACAGGAGGTGCATCGAGGTCCGATTAAGAGGAGTTGCCCATACGGTGTGCGCTTCTTTCTTTTGTTGATCTCGATTTGCGTTCTCGCTTCTCGTTTCTGTGTAATTGCAACCTGTACTCACCGCTCCCCACCCACAAGAAGGCTAAGATGCGGCGCCATTCTTCCTCAGTTTTTTGAGTGCTTGAATATCGCCAATAATGGTGCAGAGTGCATGTTCACGGAGAGCAACCGCAGCAAGACGATTGCAGCAATGTCGAGCGCACAGGGAGCAATGAGCAGAGCGTACGAACGGCTTTTTGTGCGTCACGCTGGGGTGAATGACGTCAGAGCTTGACGCTGAACGGAAGAAGGCAAGTCTAGTGCGAAGTGGCAAACGACATGCGGGTGTGGTTACCGAATGCTCAGCGCAGTGCGATGCAGTGCCTGCATTGGGGGATGGGAGTGAGCACAGCCACCGGCTGCCTGAGCCAAGCTCATGTGGCGGCAGGCCAGTGTGGTTTGGTGGGATGGTCTTGATTGGTGCGCTGCCCTTTGCGGTAGTGGCATCATCGTGCTGCCACACACAGGGCGCACAATGCTCTAGTGCTGTTTGGGGAGACGATCCTCCACTATCCAACGTCGTCATTGACCAGGCAGCCAGCCAGCAAGCCAGGCAGCAAGCAGCACCATCCCACCCTCCCACCCCCCTCGTGCACTATCACTATCACCATCACCACCTCATATTTCTCCAACTTTCCAACCGGCATTCGTGCGAGATTGCACCTTACAGAGCATATTACTAGCAATATCGAATTAGAGGATTGCTTTTTGTCCAGCCAACCCGCTTCCCTGTGGCTCACGTGGGACGAACGAACGAATAAAGGGCACCCACCAACCTTTTCGGCTCACCATGTCGCAGTACGACGCGCACAGCATCTCGCGCGCGACTAGCCTCAGTCGCAAGTCGACCGTCGCTTCCCGCAATGCCTCGCTCATCAAGAAGAACACCGGACCCCATGAACTGAGGCCGAGCGACATTCTCATCGAGCGCTTCATCGGATGGAAGGCGAGTACAATCTATTTCGACAGGGGGGAACCCGATGCAGACTGAACTGACCTACCTTCCGCACGTGCGGTCGACACCACGCAGCACATCACCAAGCAACTCATCTCGTACTTTGGTGAGATCGTTTGTTCCCTGCACACACGGAAAGCACAGACTAACAAGCCTTTCTCTGTTTTCGCAGAGGGCATCGCCGACATCGAGTACAACACCGCCAAGGAGCTGACCAAGCTCGGCGGCGTGATCCAGGTGCCGTTCCGTGAGGGGAACCAGTTCCTCGGCGAGGAGGGCATCCAGGATGTGTACTATGCCATCCGCGACAAGACACGCGTGATCGCAGACCATCACGCCAACCTAGGCAAGACAGTTGAGGGCTCGATCGTCCAGCATCTGCAGAAGCTGCGCTCGGAGATTAAGGCGCACATCAAGAACGTCCAGCAAGACACAGGCAAGCTCGCCAACAGCGTCGCCAAGGAGCGCGAGATGAGCACCAAGATGATCACCGACCTGGCTAAGTCCATCACCCTGCTCAAGAATGCACCCATGTCCGTTACCGCCAAGGAGGACCCACACAGCGTCAACGCCGCCGTCTTCCGCCAGCTGCAGCGCCAGGTCAACGAGGAGAACGCGCTGCAAAAATCCATCATAATTATGCAGCAGAACTCGGCACACTTTGAGGGTAAGGACAGCCTTCTCCCTTCTCTTTTCCCACTCGTGATTGCTCACCTCTTCGTCCCGTTGCAGAGGGCATCGTTCGCTCTATCCAGTCCGCCTGGCAGACGTTCGACGAGTGGAGTGGACGCATGTCGGCCCAGGTTCAGGACACGTGGCTCTCGCTCGGCGTCCAGATGCGCTCACTGCAGCCCAATAGCGAGTGGATCGCATTTGCCGCACGCTCTGATCACCTCCTCGACCCGGATACCCCCCTGCGCAACCCGGAGACGATCGACTACCCTGGCAAGGACGATCCATCGGTCATCCCCGTTCATCTCGGCATCCTCGAGCGCAAGAAGCGCTTCACCAAGACCTACCGCGAGTCGTTCTACGTCCTTACCCCCGCCGGCTACCTGCACGAGCATGGCAGCTCGGACCCGACACGCCACCCTTCGCCGGTGCTGTCGCTCTTCTTACCCGAGTGCACGCTCGGCGCGCCGAGCACGATGGCTGCCAAAAGCCATAAGTTCCATATCACTGCGGCAAAGAGCGACAAGCCGCTGGCGAGCCTGCGCGGCGAGCACGCGTACACATTCCGCGCCCGCAGCCACACGGAGCTGATGGAATGGTGGAACGACATCAAGCAGCTCAGCAAAGTCTACCTCACTACCTCGGAGCAAATGGACCGCTCTGGCCCTGTACCTGCCGCTGTCCGCGCGGTCGGCTACCGCAGCGAGGAGGAGGAGGAAGAGGAGGAGGACGGCAGCTCTGTTGAGGAGGAGGAGGAGTACGAGGAGGAAGAGGAAGAGACACGACACGCCGACCAGCAGCAGAACGCTCCTGCTGCCGTTGCCCCGCTTGGCACTGCTGCTGGCGAAGAGGAGATCCCCGCATACACGGGCGCAAGCAAGAGCTCCGGCATCGAGATTGGCGTCAACGGCTACGCCATCGAGAAAAAGGGTGACGCAGGCACTACCGGCGCAGGCCCGAGCGGGACAAGCGGTGCGGACAAGGCAAATGGTGAGTCACTCCTTCCGTTCTTCGAGTGATGCGTTCGCTGCTGCCTGCCAGTCGACGCTGGACGATCATCCGGTAAACTGGAGTGGAATCCAGCAAAGGCGGAGGCAAGCCTCTGCGAATGTGCGCGCGCGACACGCTATTGAGATTACGGCCACCGACAAATCTTGTTCTGTATGCGATGCAGGTGCAGCCACTGCCATCCCAGCCGTCCGTGGCGTTGAACAGGAGCAGTAGTAGCAGCCGCAAGATGCGGCCGGAGGTGGCGCGGGCTCTGTTACGGTGCGGCCGCAGTAGTCAGCCGCGCTCGTCACGGCCGTCGACCCGGAACGAAAGGAGGGCGCTGCGCTCGCTGCTCTCGTCGGCGACGCCGTCACGGATGCGTGTGCGGCTATGTCCACACGCGCAGAGGTGAAGAAGCACGAAAGACTTCTCAAGGGCTTCTTTGGCAGCGGTACTGGCTCCAAGCACTGAGAGGCCGCCGGACAGCAGCGGGTGCTCCTTTGTTCCTTGTTTCCTTCACGATGGATCGATCGGACTGCTAATAGTTGCTTATTTATCCTCGACTTACCCGGAACAGCCTAAGCACCGCAGACAGCTCTTCTCCTGAACCGCCATCATTGCTGGTGGAAATGAAAGAACAATTCACGTGTGAAAGCCGGATGGATGGACGTGCATCACATCACCACTTCACTCGATTCGTACGCTCGCATGCTCGCTGTTTGTTGATGGTTGGAAAAGATGAAAGAAAACACAAGAAAGTCACACCACAACACGTATATAACCTCACGTTGATTCCCGGACCTAAATGAATGCGCTCCCCATACATCATTGCAAGAGACCGCAGTGCCTCGCGTGTTCTGCGTGCATCCCATGGGTTAATTGCCCCTTGGACAGCTCACGGGGCGGTCACATCGAGAAAGGCCATACGCCAGTTAGATAGGCAGACTGCTTGCTGTGCTCGCTGCTGTCTGTTCCTTCCTCCCCATTCAATCCGCGCCTAGCCGCTACTTATTATTTAGGTAGAGTCAGCATGGTCACAACAGAAGCCGTGGTGTGGAATGGCGATTGGCTATTGGGCTGCAGCTTGTCCTCTAGTGCGGTCAGAGTCGCCCAGCGGCTGGGAGGCTAGCTAGTGATTAGTTGACCAACGAACGAACGGGCAACGGTGCGATCATTCCATTTATGGATTTGCCTCGAGTAGTGAGCGGAAATTCCACATCAGAGATGTGAGTGCGATCAAAGATGCAAGAGACTCGATAGAAGAGAGTGAGTTCAGTCGATGTACTTGCTGGCAAAACACATGGCAATCGGGGAAGTCGACAATAATGCACCAGCGATGTTGGCAGGGTTGCTCATAGGATTGGCTATTTCACCAAGCCTGCATTACTTTTTGGTATATCGTTGAGCAAGAGCGGCGTCTCCAATTTGTCACGGGGATACGGACAAATCAATCCTGCATTGATTCTTCGAGTGGGGGGGAGGGGGTCTCGCAAACAGGCTCACTCACTCCAATGGAAGTTTGGAAAATAACACTTTGGGAAAAAAGATACCTTGGAGGATCACCATAGTCAGGCTACCTCAGCTCAGATTCGCTGTCCGAGCTGCTAGCGATGACAAAAACGCTGGTGTGGGCATCTATTTCTCGTCCGTATCTCTTAGCCTCCTCGCCATCCGTCGCCTATTGTCAGCCGGTTCGGCTGTCCGTCCGTACGGCTGTGGATACAGTATGGCTTCTGCCTTTCGTTCCTTCTCGGCATTCTACGCCCGCTCCTTTGAGCGCAGACCTTGGCTGACCCTCGCTGTTGCAAACGGCTCGTTAGGCGCTCTAGCGGACGTGCTTGCACAACGATTTGAAATATACAACGAACGCAACGCTGGCAGAGGCAATGGTGGTGCGAATAGCAACAGCAGCAGCAAGAATGAAAGCACAGGCGGGCGAATAGACACCAGACCAGATGGGAAAACACGATCAAGCGAGCAGCAACAAGCGGTGTACGATCCGATTCGCTCGGTGCGGTTCTTTGCATTCAACGTGACCATGGTGCCGCTGCTGGACAAATGGAACAAATTCATTGAATACCGCTTCCCGCTGTACCCTGCCGGTGTCTCCACAGCGGGCAAGGCAAGCATGGTCGCGCTCGCCAAGAGGGTTGCTGTTGATCAGCTGGGATTGTGAGCGATTAAGTATGGCGAAGTTCTGACCAGCTACGAAGAGCTGAGCACGGCTCTCTTGCAAATTCTGCTCGCTGTTCGTCCCCAGTGCTCCTTTCGGTTTGTTCATGTTTGTCAGCGTCATGGGCACATTTGAAGGCCGAGATATAGAAGGTGTCAAGCAAAAATTTAAAGATGTCAGTGGTCAGGAGCGGCGACTACCAAATACGGCTTGTTCACCTTTCTGATTGATATCACGACATATTCCCCCAAACAGATGTACTTCCCAGCTCTGCTGGCCAATTGGCAGGTATGGCCACTAGTGCAAGCAGTTAACTTTCGTTTCATGCCTTTGCGGTGGGTACGCCCACAGCTTGGAAGACCCGCATGATCAGTGCTGACAGATTCTGAAATTGCACCTACGCGCCCCTCAACAGATACCGTGTACCGTTCACATCATCCATTGGGGTACTCTGGACCATTTACCTTTCCCTTCTCAATATGTCACGCGGTGGAGAAAGAGAAGCCGCGCGGCATGTCGAGCGTGCTTGACTCTTCACTTCCATAGACTAGGCGTAGGTTCCAACCGCTCCAACATGTATCATAGACGCAATGCCGGGGTTATATGATGATGAATTAAGGCTTAAGTGCATTTCCTAAATTTGTCAGGCGGCGATAGCATACACACAGGCTCCGCCCGCCGGCTCGGTCGCGAGCAATGACTGGTCAATCTTTTCCTGCGTGATGTCCGGGAATCGCTTTTTGAAGTACCCTTCCTTGAGCGCATCCAAAAGACGCGGGACCTGGGCACTCGGGACGAGAGAGACAGTCGAACCGCCCCAGCCTGCACCCGTCAAGCGCGAGCCAAGTGCGCCGTTTTGCTTGGCGATCTGGACAACAGTCTCCAGTTCGGGGCACGAGGCCTGGTAAAAGTCGCGCATGGACGTGTGGCAGTCGTCGAGCATTTTCCCTAGCTGTGCGTACTGCGCCGCACCGCCGTCGGCCGCCATGCTCTGTGCCGCCGTCGCATCGCCAAGGATCTTGCGGAAGCGCAGTGTGCGCAGCGCTTCGTCAAAGACGTGGTGCGCACGCTTGTATAGTTCAAAGCGTTCGCCGCGGACTGCGAGGAAGAGCAATCAAAAGTGCATCAGTCATGATGGTTCAAAGCCAATGAATCTTCGTTTAGCATGAATAGATTCACTAGGGAAGCGCGACAGGAACTCATCATCATACGCCGTGCCGCTGTAGCCTGTCAGCTTCTCCGCTTCGACTCGCGTGACCGCCTCTTTCGGGATTGCGTCCTCTGCAATCCTTCCAAAGTAAAAGATTCTCGCGCCCTCATCGCCTGCCTCTTTCCTCGCCTGCTCTACGCCTGCGTCTCCCGTGGGAAGAGAGTTCTTTTCGTAGAAAGCGCGCAGCAACCCGTTGAGCTGTGCCGTCGCCTCTGTCATTGGCAGGTCAAGTTTTTTGGCAATGGCCCGGCTCGCCAAGCGCAGCTCGACCGTGCGCAGGTTATAGTGGATTGGCCCGGTGACCTTTTTGTCGCTGACGATGAGGGTATTCGCGATGACGAAAGTGTGGCTTGGATCGCACTTGGGCATGCGCGTCGGTGTTGCTTTGAGCTCGGGGTAGAATTCAATGTGCAGCGCATGACCAGGCACACCAAAAATGGATGCAGCTTGATCCATACCACCCGAATTGACCCCCACGAGACGCTCTGATTCGATAGCGACCTCGGCCATCTCGCGGCGCGAGATCAGGTTGCGTGCGCCGAAAGCCTCGAGGACCACAATGGAGGAGCACGAGGTCATGGCTGCAGATGAGGAGAGTGAAGATTCGGGCGGGATCGTTCCATTAACCAAGACTTCAATCAGAGCTGGTCGAGTCGAAGGAGACAATGTTGCCGGAGGCAGATGCGGGTGCAGGCCCTACGCAACGCAAGGGGGGAAAGTCAGCACGCCGAAGCCGTGTGACAGAAGGAGCATATACCAGCTCGTACCTTCACCGCAACTTTGAAGTAGTTTGCCCATCGATCACCACCTTCGTGGTTGAGCAGAACGTCTTGGCAACCCTGCTTGAATTCGGTCTCGAATGTCGCCCTCTCAAATCTGGGCGTAGTGTTGGACAGTACAAACTTGACCTTGCTGTCATCTGCGCCGCCTTTTGCTGGTGTTATCTTGACAACCATCAAGATATCCATCTCGATTGCTGCCGGTAGCACACTGAAGCCTTGATGGTCGACATGCCTGGCAGTGACGGAAGGCGCGAGAAGCGGTATAGATCCACAGTCTCGAAACAGCGCCGACTCGTGTCACGAAGGACTCACTCGCCAATGATGTTGACCCGACCAGGGGCCCGCGCCACGAAATCTGGCTTCTTTCCATATTGCCTTTCGAACTCGTTCATGAGATTGTCCCAGCGAGCACCTTCTTTTGCGAGTGTCTGGCTGGTGGAGTAGATCTTGTCGAGCGACGAGACGAGCGGGATGTATGTCTCGCTTCCGGCCATTTTTGAAGAAAGATCCTGTGGACTTCCGCGTTCTGAAAGCTTTCTTGGGCACATAGGCTTTGCGTCGTCCAACTTTGTTCGATGACCTGATGTTCTTGGCTGTCGACCGTACGCAACGATGTTGGTGGATGGGAGATGAAGAAACATGCAGTATTCGACCAGGTTGTAGACGGTTTCCAGCATTCGTTCGAGATCCTGGACGAGATCCTACGCCGCAACTGAATAGATCCACCCGACATTCAAGGCTGCTCCAGTGCCCAAAAGACGTACATCCGTAATGGGAAAGTCCCCCCACCTTTTCGAAGAACAATGAACATATCGGCAATGTTCGCAAGGATGAAGCATGAAGCAGCTCTCTCCCCAAGAAACCAGCAAGAGAACAACACATTGAATGCAACCCGAGCGTGCGATGAATATAAATAGATCAAAGCCTCTCGCATCTGAGCTCAACAACTGCACCTCGCTGGAACCTGGCGGGCGAGGCGAGCATCGGGCAGGTCCATCTTTGTGACGAAACATATGCATGCAAATACTACATTTGCCATCGAGCCGAGGCAGTCAAGGAGGGACAGCAAAGGCAATCACGCTCTCCTTGCCATACATCTATACCCTTGTTGCAATGGATAAGCCCGTAGACGTTGCTTTACTCTTCGTGGCCTCCAGTGGCCAGGTGTCCCTCCTTGGAGTTGTACCAGGTGTTCTTTTCCTTGGCCCATGCAATCAGGCCGTACCCTGCGGGAGCGGAGGATGGCACATTAGGGCAGTATTGAGAAAGCGAGTAGACTTGTCAGTATATGTGTGCACCACCAGCGGTAAAAGAGAAAGTAGGGATGTGCCGTGCTCACCAGCTGCGAATGGAATGAGGAAGTAAGGCGCTTGCACGAGCACTCTGCGGTAGCCAAAGAAGATGGCGTCCTTGAGGGCACCTCGGGTGGGCGAAGTGTGCACAGGAGAAAGCGCTGCAGACAAGACGAAAAACAGAGGTCAGCGTCGGGGCTCAAGCGTAGCACTCTCGATGAATGCCTTCAGCGAAATGTATTCCTGCCCGCGATGCTAGTAGTCTTAGTGGGAGCCCTGAGTGCGTCTGACGAATCAAGGTGCGCCAGGTTGGCATCACCTTGCGTTTTCCCAGCGGCTCAGCCGCGAAGCCTGGCTGAAGAAATGTGAATCGAGCTCACATATCTCAAACCAGGTTCGAGGACGAAGTCCTGGCTTTGGACACGTCAAGACCCATTACTTACAGTATTGTGTCACTCCTCGCTGCTTAGGACCGCCAAAGTCGCCCCACCAGCCAAGCTATTGGTATGAAACATCATCGCACGTATTTTCAAGAGTGAGATTGGAGAGAGAAATGTGTAAGCACGGGAGAAGAAGCAGGTGTGTCATAGTGGAGACAGATTAGAACTTGGCACATCGCCGTGTGAAAGCAAGAGTCACTGATGTCATATCATGTGCCACAATACTTCTAGCTGGTCCATTTAGCCATCTCTCTGGCACCAGAGCCTCCTGCCGCCTTACAGCTAAAGCCAAAGCGGTTGCCAGCGGTGAGGCACGCGTCTGCCGTCGAAGTCGAGGAGGACGCGAGAAGGTGCAAAGTACGACCATCCTGCACTTTGGTTGGCCTGGGGTTTCCGCCCGCGAGGCAACCGTCATTGACCCTGCCACAACACCTCGTACAATGTAGTCCTCTCTTCCTGCAGTTGAGGGATTCCTTTCGAATGCAACGGCGGTTTGAAGCGGCGCTCGAGGTAGGCTGGTGGGTCCACTGAACTGAGCACACGAAGACTCACCCACTTGTTGCCCGTGGGCATGTGCGCGCTGCGCGCCACGGTTGTTGGATGCATCTTGAATCGAGTTGTACGTCTGCTCCACCTGCACAAGCCAGCGAGCGCGATAAGCAAGACCTTACAGCAGCAGCTTGTGTTCGATGACAGACATGTAGAAAACAGAAGGCTGGAGGATGGATTCACTTGAGCTGCTTGCAGAGATGGCTGGCGGTTCGCTCCTACGGGTAGCCACCAACTGGGGCCGCGGAAGAGCTGTAAATCCAAGCAGTGCCTTTCAGTGGTCAGCCGACAGTGTTAGTCTTGCTACTTTCGGATCTGCCACCCTCGGAAATGCATCGAATGCTGACCATACAGCTTATAAGCCAGCCTGATCTGACCAATGCATGTGCGCTGGTGCGGCGAGTACTTGGGACTTGCAAGCAAACTGTCGAGAAAGAAGTGCTGCGAAGCGTTGGTAGCGCGATGAACGCTCACAAGAAGCGAAAGACTGCGGGCGGAGCTGTTGCTTCGCCTACTTCTCGCTCGCCCTCTCCAGTCGATTCTGACAATGAGAGCGGTTTGGCATCTCCTTCCAAAGCAGGGCAAATGCCCTCCACAGGCACCACTGCTTCCATGAACAAGCCCCGCCCAGCGCGCAAGCAAATCACACCAGAGGGACTGGAGGCCATCAAGGCAGCTGCGGACAAGTCTGCGCAGTCAGGCGTCACATACAATCTCTGGTACAACAAGTGGGCCGGGGGTGACTCGTACGATGCAGCAGCAAACAATCGAAAAGCTGAAACGAGGTGTGACATATCGAGGGATAGCGGGTATACGAGGGGGGATATCAATGGCGGTGCATATGTCTGCCTCTTTTTTGCAAGGGGGTATTGTCCATTAGGGTGAGCGGCGCTCGCACGGATTTAGTCTGGACTTTGCACAAACCGTGCTAATGATCTCTCAACGATATTTCAGAGCGGACTGCACCTATTTACATCGACTACCGCCGCCCATCCCCTTGCCAGATCAAGGTCGAGACATCTTTGGACGCGAAAAGCATGGCGACTATCGCGATGATATGGGCGGTGTCGGCTCGTTGCAGCGCGTCAACCGAACCCTTTACATTGGCCGCGTCCACGAGGAACCACGTTTGTCTGGAGGTGGGGGAGCTACAAATGGTGTGAACTGGAGAGACAGCGGGAGGACAGCAAAAGGCGGAAAGAGCGCCGGCGGCAAGGGCGGGAGTCTCATGAAGCACAGCTACGATGACCTCAGTCTAACCGAGAAGGTCCTTTGGCGCCATTTTAGCGAGTGGGGAGAGATTGAGCGGAGTGAGTAGAATCGTTTGTATGCAAGGGGACACGCCTTTCTCAAAGCCTGACCTGCGATTTATACACAGTCCGTATATTGCATGGCCGAGGCTGTGGTTTCGTGACCTACAAGACTGAAGCAGGTGCCCAATTCGCAAAAGAGGCAATGTCGCACCAGTCGCTCGACCACGACGAGATCCTTAACGTGCGATGGGCGACGGAAGACCCGAATCCTGGCGCTAAGAAAGAGCATCATCGGACCATGGTGCGTGAGGGTGTGCTCAAGATGGCCGAGATGATGACAGAGGAGCAGCGTGAGGCGGGCGAAGCCATCAAGAGACTGGAGGGTGAGAGCGGGATTCGGGAGGACCGGCTGATCGAAAATATCGGCCAACGAAGAGGGCGCCACAATGATGACCCCGAGGACGAGGCGAAGCGCAGACGACTAGAGGAAGAGGATGCAGCAGACGCGATGCAACGACTCTTGGAGGAGAATGCACGAGGTTGGGCAGAGATAGAGGGGGCGAAAGAACAACAATCAACCCCACTGCAAGCATCAGCCGCTAGGGGCGTGCCTCAAACCGTGGCGCCATCAGCAAAGGGCCTGCTTTCATCCGACGCGCTCTCCCGATTGCATCAGCTCAAATCGATGCAGGCTGTTGCTTCGAAGAAAAAAGAGGCTGGCTTGAGCAGCTTAGCCGCATATGGCTCGGATAGCGAGGACGAGTAGCTAGCAAGGTGCAATCACAATACGTCTGCCACGCGTCTCTCGGTCGCGCAGACTTCGCTACATGCTATCTTGTCCGCGTGCTTCGTCGAGTTCCCTGAGCAACAGTTGCCATCACACTCTTCTGCGCTTTTGCTTGTCCACTTTCGAGGGCAGGCAGTTGGGGCGTTTTGGCTCTTGAACGTGCTTGGATGCGAGGCTTCTTCGAGCTTTTCTGCTCGCTGTCCGATTTGCGCTTGCTGGGTGCACCCGCAAATCTTGATTTTGAGGGTGGGTTCTTCGGGCCCTGCTCTTCCCCTGGCTTAGCCGTTTCCTGTTTTTTCGCTTTTTTGCCTTTGGACGGCGTCCAGTGAGCAAAGCCGCCGCTTTTGCCCATCTGCACAATCGCCTCAAAAGCAATTGGCAGGACCGGCTTCTCCAAGAACGTTCACAAATACCGTGAGCACATGAGCTGACCTTCGAGATGAAGGAAATATTTTCGTCTCCACTCATAGCTCACCTGAACACTCAGACGCCCTGGCATCAACAAGGGCATTTGGCCGATGTTGTGGATCTGTTCATCCGAAAGATAAGCGATGTCCTTGCGCTGCTCTATCGTGAGATGTGACAGTCCTGCACCGATCTGTTGCAAGACGGACAACGGTACAAAGTGCTCTAAACGTTCAACGAACTTGACGTCGACCATGTACCATCGCGGCGTCTCTCTCGATGACTTTGGGTCATGGTATGGTGATTTCTGCAATATGGCAATCAAGGGCGACAGCGCATCAACTGGTGCTTGGTTGACAGGCGTTCAAAGCAGCTGCTTACGGTGTCAAAGGCGGTATGATCGGGGTACGCTTCCTTGCATATCTGTCATTCTCAAATGTAACGTGTCAGCTCTGCGATTGGAATCCATCAGGTCAAGGACCATCCTGATTCACTTCTGCAAGACCAGCAACACCTGCATTACCCAGGAAACCCAACAGAGAAAATATTGTTAATATTGCATCGGGCGGCTACTGATGTCCTCTTCGAGTAACGCACCTGGAACCGCGCAACTGCTGTGATAAAACAATGCTTTATGTCCATTTCGCATATTATTCTTCATGAACCCACTAGCTTGCGCATTCCGTACTCCATCCCAGCTCTCCGTCCCCACTTTTTCGAATTTATCAATGCTGAAGGAGATGTCTTTACCCTTTTCGTACCGCGCGTCCGGCTCGCTCTTGAATAGCCAGCAGTTGGTCGTCCGTGCAAGGTGCGCTGCTGTCTGCGGGGCCATGCTCAACGATCCTTCAGTAAGACACTGGTGTAATAGGAGTGCACGAGTGCCGGATAAACGCTTGGCAAGGCGGATCAGTGAGCGCATTGACGACAACACGGTCGTGCGAAGCGGGTGTGGTGCTTCGGGGTGACAGCAGAGGGTTGGGCCGTACGATTAGTGATGCCGTCGTCAGAAGCAAAGCTACGCTTTGACGCCAGCGCCCTATGGATGTAACAGGTACGACTCATCATCTCGGCGCCCACTCACACAGCAAATATCCAATTCGGCAATTTGATTATCCATCAGGCCTCAGTCCATCCTTTAAACACTGATCTGGCAGACTGCAGAGCAAATTCTCTCATGTTTTACACTGAGCTTGAATAAATTGAATTTCTGAGGGGTGTACATTGTAACTGCATCCAATAGAATACAGCGCCTGCCGCATCTACCACGATTATCAAGCGATGCCGACGATGAAGCATGGAACGATGAAGCATGGAACGATGACCTTATCGTGGTGACTCACATAGAACCTCTTGGACGATGAGACCGCAGGGGCCCGAGAACCAATTGTCAATGGCATTTATCATATTCGAAAAGGGTCAATTGTCAATAGAACGAAAGCCGTTCCCATGTCAGTGGACGTCGAGGAAGCCGATGAAGGAGCTACAAGAATAAAGAGAGCGCTTTGCGCGAGCATAAATTTTTCGTTAGGTTCTGATGTTCAGTAATGGGCATCTAAGACAGGCCAAACTTCTTTTTTCTTTCTAATCCTCCCTGCTTGCCCTTCAACATTTTTTACTTTCTAGCGGCGACAAAGGCGGTGGAAAACGAAGAAAAAATGGCATCTCGACTATGTAAGAATGATTTCGTCTACTATTCTAGCCGGTGCCTGCCTCGTACGCACGGTCGAACTTCATGAGCTGGAGGTGGTCGTAGCCGGAGAGCATCCCGCATGGTAGCGTGGAAGGTGTCAGCTTGGCTTGGTGCCTGGAATACCGCGTTTCGCGCGCATGATTCACCTGTCACGACACTACGGGTGACATTGGCGCCGGCACCCTTGAACAGACTCTTGGTGCCTTCCTCAAGGACGATCTTGCATCCACACTAGTAGAAGTTGGCGTAATGCGTCCCGTTGCCAGCGTTGGTCATCACCTTGTGGCGGCGAATCGTATCGAACGGGTACGACGAGGCTGTAACAATGCCCCAGTCGAGCAAGAGCAAGGCGAGGAAGCTATCCGCAATCGAGTCCCGCTGGGCGATGAGCTTGAGGGAGTCATAAAGGCCTGTTGTCGGCGAAGGAGCTCGGTCAGTACGCCATTTCCGGTTGAGTAAAGAGTGAATCCGCCCGATGAACGCACAAACTCATCAAAGCAGCCGCAGTGCACGACAATGGTGATGAGATTGGGAGCGAATCCACGGTAAAGGCCAGCAATACCATCATCCTTGAGCGCCTTCTTGTAGACATCAATCGGGCTGTTATGCATGTAGACGACCATCACGTGTCTTGTCGCGAGGCTGTGAGAACCCCGAGCAGTCGCCCTCACCCGTTGAACTGCCCCTCTCCGCCGCCTTGGCGTCCGTACTGAGGCGCGTGGGGGTATAGTCGAGACTGTATACGAACAGGCCGCGCGCTGCTCCCGCCGCGCCGCCCGCAGCAATGTTGCTGACCGAAAGCTGCCAGTACGGCGCCGTCTTGGGTTTCGCGAAGGCGGCCTCGATCTTGTCCTTGAATGCAAAGTTGAGCGTTTGTGTGGGGAAATAGTTGCATGCATACAGAGGGGAAGCATTCAGCTCATTTATCACACTAGGGCAGCATGCCGAGCCTACGTCTGTCTGTTGCTGCTGCATGGCCAAGCTCACCGAATGATGTTACCATTGTTGCTGCGCCAAAAAAGATGCGAATCCGTCCTCGCAAAGCAGTCAGTGATGCACTTGTAGAGATGAGAGCCTGACGGGCTTAAGCATCTCGCCGTGATTCTGGACGAGCGGCTTGACGCGCTTGATGTGCGCTGCGACGGCTTTGGAAATCGCAGCCGCAACGCCGCCCATCAAGACTGTATGTCCGGAATGAAAGGAGGCGTGGACGGTCAACAGCAGGCACGCCAAGCCACGGGGGATCCTTCACAGGACGGGAGGGGGGGGGCAGCTCGATCTGGCTGACTTTGGCCACATCCTTGACCTGGGCACCCGACGGTGTTTGCATTGATGCTGCTCGAACCCGACCATGTCGGGCTCCGGTTTGCGCTTGTTGATTAGTGAGTGGTGGTGCTAATGATGAGAAAGGATGACCTGGTGCCGATAGCAGCCAAAGGGAAGGGGGGGGCGGCTCGCATATACGTACACCCAGGACTGTCCTTCAGGCAAGGTCCTCATCATAGGCAGGGCTGATGGATCCAGCACCAAGCGCGGTGTCCAACGGGAAGCCACAGTCCACACTTTGCTAGGTTGAATCACTCCACTGTACATTGAAGTGCATCTATCGGAACGGTTTAAATAGTGGTTCCTCATTGAACGATGTTGTTCCACTGGCTGCCCATCCTAGCTCGTATCGTGAGTCGCGGGAAAGATCGCCCCCCGATAATACCGAGTAGACAATACCTGAAACGCCGTCCGTGGGCTGGGGTCTCAGATTCTTTCCGGGTCCGCACCTGTTATACTCGAGCATCATGGTTAGCTCATATACGGCCGACGACGACCTCATTCCAACTGACGGACGGAGAGACAAACAAGCATACGTCGTGCACGTAGATGAGAGCGACAAACACCATCAAACCTCATTTCGCTGACCCCCTCGATGTCGACGATTCTTCTGCGGGGTGCAGGTGGTGCTGTGAACGCGCGTGCTTTGTTGGCGGTGCGTGATCTTCACACCGGCGATGACAGTGATCGTCGAGGGACGCTTCGGGGGCCCAGGAAAAGGTGTCTTCCCTTCAATAGCGATGTAGATGGCGTTATATGATACAGAAGCATGTAATGAGGAAGGACCCCCGAGTCACGTTGAGAAAACCGGACGGGGGAATCAACCTGGTGCGGAAAAGTGATGCTGCATGATGTATGATACCAGTCGTCTTGTTGTATGCGTGCGCGCCCAAACTATTACTCTCGGTCTTCCTCTTCCTGATCTCTTTGCCATTTAGATATCACACCATCACCGGGAAATGCAGCTACTGCCTTCAGATCACGCTCCGCGTCTCGCCTGCAGCAATGTGAACAGCAGCCACAGATGGCGTCGGTCGGGCGGTGCTCCCCTGTCGACTCCTTCGGCTCGAGTCGCAGTCGCCGAGGCCGCAGCCGCAACTGAAATCAGTGGGCCAATCTCGGCAGCATGAACGCGCTCCGCTTCACGGCAAGCCAGCTGGAGTTCCTCAGGCACGAGCATCCTACTCTGTAGGGCGTCCACCACGTCACCGGAAGCGCTGCCGTCATCAGCGCTGCTGGCATCAGTACAGGCAGAAGCTGCAAAGACCATCTTCTCTTGGCTGGTCGACTCATCCCACGGTGCTATATCTTCATTGTCAACGCGCTCCTCTTCGTGATCGCTGCCGCCGCCGTCACAGAGGTCGGCAAATATGTCTTCTTCTTCTTCCCCCGAAGCTTTCACCCAGCGCATTTGCACAGGGTCGAAGCGCATCTCGCCGACAATTGTAGCCGCCGCAGCTGTCGTGCGACGTGGCAATTTGCTGACTGTGGCTGTGACTGCGATGGCACTGGCGAAGGACTCGTCCTTGGACGATGGGCTTTCTGAGGCAATGAGAGGAGCCGAGGCGATCCGATCTTGACTGGGCCAGACACGATTAAGCGCTGAGGGTGCAGTCAAGTCCGCCTTTCCCTGCTGCAGCTGCAGCGAGTGATGACCGCTGGTGCTACTGCTGAACTGCGTAATGAGTGCAGGACGCGCGCTGGGCCCAAGCACCTCATCAAAGCTCTTCAGATCCATCTCGTTACCCTCCCAACGCTGTGATTTAGGGTTCCACCGCATCTCGCCGACGGATTTGGGCGTCGAGGGTGCGCCGCCGAGGTTCTTAATCAGCATCGGCTTCCTGCTCTCCTTGCCTTTTGCCTTGCGCTTGCGTGTGCGCGAGCGGGCTTTGCCTGCCGGGGTCGATGTACCAGCGGTAGTAGCTGTGGCACTGCCAGTGCCGGAACCGTCATCTTTCGTCTTCCCAGGTGTATGTGGCCGGTGCAGCGACACAGCATGAGCCTGAGCTTGAGACTGTGCCTGCGGACTCAGCGCGTGCGACGAGGCTTTCGGTGGAGCAACGAGCGGCACGCCGAGCGCCTGCTGCAGTCCCCTCGCTGCCAGCCTGCCGCTCGCCCTGATGGGCCGATGTTCGATCGTCGGCTGGCGAAATCTATGCCCATGCTCTGCAACTCTTTGCAAAGGCAGGTCATCGAAGACGTCGAGCTCCATGCCATCACCATAGTTGCGCAGTCGCTTGGGATGTCGGAGCATCTGCGGAGCTGCTGCTAAGGGAGGCGCGGTGGATGTGTTCGCGCCATTGCCATTTCGCCCGGCCTCCATTGGAGCAGATATGACTTCAGATATATTTTCGACCGGCGGTACCAAACGGCCGCAGACAGGTGAACCAGGCATCGCTGACGGTGACGACGACGAGGCAACGGCGGTAGTAGGTGCCAAAAGTGTGTCCACACGTATCGGTAGTCGATCGCTCGATATGCTAGCCGGTTGTCGAAGCGAGGCAGTCGATACGGAATATCGCACGGCAATAGGCGCTCGCCGCTTGGTGATTTGCGATTGCGCTGGCGCTTTTGGTGCCTTAGATGGCTCTGGCGCTTTGGAGAAACCATCGTCCGCTGATACAGACGTGCTAGCTACCCGTGCGGCTACTGCGCTCAAGGTTTGAGCTGTTGGTACGCTTGCCTGCGGCCGCCATGTCTTGAAAGCGTCTGTCGACGTGAGAGCCCTTGTAAAAATCTGTGATACAGGCGAGAACAGTTTCTTCGGTAGCGCGCCAGCTGGAGCAACAAATACCCCAGCAGCTACTGCCGCTACCTCTGCTGTTGATGCCATTTGGGACGATGCAACATTTTCGGGTGCTTGCAATCTATCGCCCTTAACATTAAGGGATCCTCTTCCGCTGCCGCCCGCTGACCTACTGGCTGTATTTGTCGCCTGTCCCAGATCTGGCATTGATGCTTTCCGAGAAAATGGGTGCGAGGCCGTGCCAGCTGCAGAATCCCGTGCCTGGGGGGGCCGAGCAACGCCGTTGCCTTTGCCTGGGATGAGCACGCTGCCAGAGGCAGCTCGCTGTTGCTTAGACGCGTCGGCACTGCGCTCTTTACCAGGTTGCCGACGTGCAATTGCGCTTGCGTCCGCATTCCGATCTTTGCGCGCGCGAAGACGATGCGGAGAGAGATCGCTATCGTCCGTGATGACGAGTCCGTTGAGCATCTCCTCTCCTGACGCGCCTGCCGTCCTGGGCGAGACAGGTGATGCAGAGCCCCGACGAGACGCTGACGAGCCGAAAGCGTCAGGTATTAGCAGGCCCTTTTTACGAGCTCGAAGCATCGCTTTGAGGCTGTTCGCGTCAAAGCTGCGCGCTGCCTTGTTGGGCTGTTGCGCCTCTGAGCTAATTTTGAGCGGTGTGAAAGGTACGCTCGATGACGAGACGGCAGGTGCAGGTCGTTCAGGAGGAATCTCTAGCCCTTCCCACGGGTGCTCTTCATCTTCCCTCTCATCGTGACTATTGTCATCGCCCTCCTCGTCATCGTCATCGTCGGCGTCAGCATCAACTGCAGGACGCCGTGATCGTGATGGTTCCTCCTTTGAGCTGGGGTCGGAAAGACTCGCTTTGCTGCTCTGTCGCCAGTTTGCGGCGTCCGACGACGGATAGGAGCTGAGCAGCCTGAGACTAGAAGCGTAATTCTTGAGGCCAAATGCAGCACCAGCAGCGCCGGCAGAGCGCTTGGACCGCAGCGGCGGCTCCGGCGACGAGGACCTCGTGCTGAAAGAATCCCCTTCTGCGCCAGAAGCCGCTGCTGAAGAGATGGGCAGCGAATCCCTCGCGCTCGCAAAGCCTACACCACCATTGCTGTTTCTAAGCGCGCCATCTCTCGTCTTGTAATGCAGCAAGCTAGGGCTAAGGCTGAGCTGCTGCAACGATACGTCCATCTCGAATGCGTCTTCTAAGTCGTTGTCCGCCGTTTCAAAAGGCGCATCAACACCGAGCATGCCCTTTGCTCGCGCGCGATCCGCATTGTCACCTGGGAAGTGCCCGAAACTGCGCGAGGCCTTGCGCAGGACTGCACTCGCGACAACGCTGACGGTCTTCTGCTGATGTTGTTGATACTGATAGCTCTGATGCGCCTGCGAGGACGGTAGGATGCGACTGCAACTCGCGGGGCTGGATCGAGTCGTTGACGGGCTCGGCTTTGATGACGATGGAGTCGCCGACGAAAATGATGGACTCTCTGGCTCGGTCCATTCCGTTGAAGATAGCGCGGTACTGCCGGCTCCCCCTCCCCCTCCAAACTCTCCTGCGCTGCTACTGGCGACACTGCGACCACTGGCAGACGCAGATTCGCCGCCGTCTCGGTCGCGACGAACGTGCCGGCTGGACCTGAAAGCAAAGGGATTGTCAACCTCGTCGTCAAAGCCAAACTCTTCGTGGAAAGTGCGGTTGAGCTCGCTACCGCTGCCAACAGCGACTGCGACGCGCGCGGGGAGATGGAGGTAAAGTGACGGATGTCCATGTACGGGCTGCAAATCTGTGTCCCAGTCTTCGCTGTCCTCTGCATGTTGCGGCATGATGGATGTCGCGGTGGGAGTCATCGTGCTGGAAGTGGCCAAAGAGGCGCCACAAAGTGCACCTGTTGAGGCAGCTGCAGCTGCGCGTGACACTTGGGACACTTCCCGCAGCTGAGCGAGCGTCGAGCTTTCCAGCTGCGAAAGCTTGATGGTGTCATGTTGATCCGAGTCATCTTCATCTGCATCCCCTGAGCCTATTCCATGCGTAGCTGAGCCAAGCCCTGACCGTCGTGCTCCCCAGCCTTGGTCTCGCGCCCCTTCATCATCTCCAGGGAGCAAGGCGAGGGACGTCAGCTTTTGTGCATCTCCATCAGTACTGCCCGCGTCGCTCGCATCCGCGAATTCAGCGTCCCAGTCTTCGACCGGGAGTGATGGCCGTATCTGAGCAGCGAAAGCCATCACTGTTCTCTCTAATCGGGCCAGGAAAGAGAGAGAGTTGTTGTTGATCAGCTTCATTTTCGACGCGCATTGTGTAGCTCGCAAGCGGTGCGGGTGCAACGTGAATGTTATTCACCTGATAGTCCCACCACCACCTCACAATCAGCTCGCATTGACGGCGCGGCTAGTAGCCATTCACGCTTTGTGCGACGCCTACGACTGCATCGTGCCGAGGAAGAGCCTCGTGATGCGGATTAAGCGGCGCGCTCTAACCGAACGACCACCATGGATATGGATGCGGCGGGTATGGATTTCAATGGGGGCATTGATAGTTTATAGCTCCACTTCAGCGGGCGCGACTCGCGAACTCGCGACGTGGGCCCACAGAAGGTATAGTCCAACTAGATCTGAACTAAGTGACTCTTTGGTTCTGCCTGCCCAGCTCACCAACCAGCATGTGCATGATTGCAATTTATGGTATTCTATGATTGCCAACCGTGCACTTCTAGCTCCTGTCATGCACCCGACTCGCTGGTAGGCAGGAGAACTTGAGCGATGGCGAGATGTCCTATCTTTGGGATACAGAGTTGGAAGGAAGACATGTGATGCAGTCATAGAAGCCTTTTGTGCCATAGTAAAGAATACAAGATGGGAGTGAGGAACGTCCCATCGAAGAGGTTGTTTGGAGGAGCTGCTGGGGAACCCGGCCGCGTCTCTCTTCTGCAACGGGCGGGCCACGCGAATCTCTTCCCTAGCCACTGCTTGATGAAAGCAGCAGCAAGCGCAGCCGATGCAACAACGACGCGAGAAGTGGAAAAGATCTCCTCCAGGACGGAAGCGCTCCAAAACGGGAGAGGAACCGCTCACACTCTCCCTTCCAACACCCACGCCCACGCCCTCGCCAACGCCTGCCGACCGTGAACATACTCGCAAGGAATTTACTTCTTGGCCTTCTCCTCCTCCTCCTTCTTCGCTAGGCGAGCCTTGCGGCCACCCTCGAAGCGGTGAGTCGCACGGGCCTCCCGCAAGGTGCGGTAGGCGTTGAACTCCTTCTCCTCGGCAGTGATCGCGCGCGGCGCCTCGGAGGCAACACCAGCGGGAATCGGGAAGGCAGCAGCAACGTCGCGAACAGTGTCGAGCGACTTGATGTCAGGCCTCTGCGGGTAAGTAATGAAAAGGTTAGCGTTGGGCATGCCGTGAAAATATGGGAAAAGGACCCACTTGACCCTTGTTCTTCTTGGTGCGGCGCGGGAGAACGACGATGCGCTCACGGTACGCCTGGATGCGGGCGGCGTTGAGCTTGAGGCCCTCCTCGCTCTTGTTCTTCCGCCTGTGGTCGATGGGGATGCCGATACTGGCGGCGTCCTTCTTCTTGAGGCCAGCGGCCTTGATCTCCTCCAGAGTGAAGCCTCGGCCCTCACGGAGCTTTGTGTTGTACTTCAGCGTTGGGCAGCGAACGGCGGGACGCAGAGACTTCAGCGGACGCAGGCCCAGGGAAGCAGCCTTGGCGGCACGGGCATTGCGTCTGCGCTTCTTCGCGCCGGGCTGGTCGAACCAGACCTTGACCCGGCGCTGCCAGTCCTTTCGGAAGTGGTTGTTGTGAAGGATGTTGTTGTGCTTGGCCATTCTGACGATGTGATGAAATAGCTAGGATCAGTGTCCGGATGTGAAGTCATGCCCTGCAAATCGTGCCTGCCAGACTTGCAGCGATGTTTCATGCCATCAAATCTACTCCATGTGACGGTGTAAACCGCCTTGGTTCCATCCATTATACCTCTGCGGTCCCACCAGTACTGCCTTCGAACCCCTTTGCCGCATTCAGTCCGCCGAATTCAAGTAGACTCTCGAATGGCTTCAGGTGATCCCAGGCACACATCTTTGCCGCTGCTAGCCTAGGTACGGGCATACGTCGAGTGCGATGATCATAGCTTCTGCATCGCCCAACTCTTGCTCAACAAGTCTACCCCAAATCTGAGCTACTGCTGATGACCCAAGCTGTAGCAGAATGGTGTGCTGCTGTCGATGCAAGATTTCTGGCCTTTTTGTAGTGGGAGTTGCACCTTTGCATCGCTTCAACCCTCTCGTTTACTACCCAACCAACAATCGTCCTCTTCTGGCCTCAGCGCGCCTGATGCGCATCCTTCATAGCTCCTGCAAAGAAGCAAGAGATTGTACTGCCGTAGAAATATACTCACTTGAAAGATGTCCCCTCCTTACCTAACTTGACGTGACCTAGAGAGACGGGTATCGAGAGTGCCAAATTCTAAATGATGGAAGCGTGTTGGAGATGTACAAAAGTCGCGGGCAAGGCAAGAGGGGCTCGCAGTGGGTGGTGGTCCCGCTAGTTGGGCGGTTTGGCGAGAAGCGCAGAGAGAAGCGCTATGCGAGGCTCTGGGCGACGGCGAGAGTGAGGATGTGCCTGGACACTGAAAGGTATGAGACAGATTCACTCTCTATTATTCAGCCCACACCACCGCAGCTGCGGCCACTCTCCGTTCCGCCCGCACTTGGACGGCGGGAGAGTCGAGACCCTCTCGCTACACATGTGGCCAGTTGAAGCGACTGTTGATGAGTCTGAAACCATGCACGGCTGCTGATCGTCCACTTTGGAGGCAATGGATGTGGTTTGATTTGCCTGTGTCCAGTAAAGGGATGCATTGGCGCTTCAACAGAAGCTCGCAAGCCTCTCTAGACCTTGAATCGGCAGGTAATGCAGCAATAGAAGTCGAGAAGCAAAGGTCAAGAGCGGGATCTCCGCGTGTTCTGAGATGGAGGATGCCAGGTGCCTCGTCTTGCGCTCTCTTATCTTCCAATTCCATGCGATCGTCTTGGGAGGTCATTCCCAGCCTTTGACTGGCGGGGTGCACTCGTGCATCTCGACTACGACGCGAAAACCGTACAAGAGCCTCAAGCGCTGCAGCTGCGGGCGATGGATATGATAATACAAGTCTTTCCCTTCGACGAGGAGGCCTTCCCCGTCCGCACCTAAGGCGGGCTGGGCAAACAGCAGCGACAGACTGATCACCTTGCGAAATGTGCCTTCAGGGCAATTTGATATTGAGATCACTGCAGGAAAATGTGAACACTCGAACGAGGTTGTTCGGCCGTCGCGTGCCCTCGTCATGATCTACAAGGGCAGACTTCAGTCTTGCTTTCTGATGGAAACTTTGGAACGGCGTGGCGTGTTCAGCAAAGGCGCTTCAGGAGCGAGGGCCAAGAAATGCGTGGCTCCAACCTCATGAACTGGGCGCCCACAAAATGGTCCATTTTGTCTCCAAAGGTCACAACCATTTCAGGTTGCGGCATGCGGGAAGGGCCTCTGATAAGAGTCTGATGACAAGTCAATTGACAAGAGGGTGCATCGTCTTGTGATCCGCAGATGGCACGCTCAACTATTAGATGGTTAAGCCATGACAAATAATGCATAGGGTAACATAACCGATTGTCTGGACGAATCCGCAATTGGCACTGCCGCCACGGCGTGAGGAGACATGTTGCCGTTAGAGGTGCTTAGTTGATCGAGGCGGGCATGCAGTCACCCGCGGTGAGGCACAAGCTATCGGTTATGGCGCAGCAGACCGCGTTGGTCCTGAACGGCTCCTGCGAGTACGGCACACTGGTGCATACACGCGTGGTCAGTTTGAAGACGAAATACGACAGTAATCAACGCTCCGAAGCTCTGATCAGCAGCGGGAACGGTCGCCTCGACACACCCAGCACCAACTATGGTACTGAGGTTGTTGAAGCCGGTGAGGTTGGCGACGGCCTTCTCGCTCGACCGCCCATGATGACTGCATTGCAGCACATGGGCTTACTCGAAGAGAACGCGCCCTTGACGTTGCCGCGAGCGTCCATCTGCACGTGGCGCATGTTGTCTGACGACGCGGGGAATACGGTCGAGGTAGCAAAAGGCCGACGGTCGCAATGGGAGAGAGGTGTGCGTGAGCGAGGCAAGGGAGGGAGCAAGAGATCAGTGAGATCAGGTACGATTCTCAGGAAGAATACCAAACCCGAGTGCTCCGAGTGAAGCGTGCTCACCATCATTTTCCAATAGAGTGTGGAGAGTGGGAGAGTCTGTGTGAGAGGGCAGGTTGAGGTGGAAAGGAAAGTGATCGGATGCGGTGAAGGGCAGGAAATAGTGAAGACCCGAGGACTGGCCTCCTTCCTATACATGTTCTCATCAGTCAAGCTCCGAAAATGATTCGAGAGTTAGAGATTTTGTCAGCAGGGGAGCGAGCATTGGAGACCCCCTTCAAATTGACAGCGCTATATGGAGGTCGAACGTTGCTACTGATGCACCATCGAAGTGTCAGTGCTCATCAGGTAAAGTCGCACCAAGCTCAGAATCAAAGGCGAGTCCAAGAAGGTCCAAGAAAAAAATGTTAAATGTGCGGCCTCGACAAAGTAATGTCAAATCAAGAGGCCGAGGTTTGAGGTAAGTCGATGTGCGGGATGAAAAGCCTGTCAGACTGGGCCAAACCGGCAGGGGGCAAATCAAGCTGATTCATACCCTGGCAAGGCAGTTGAGCTCCCTTAGCATCGCTCCACCCTACTATGATCGATCCGTCTTTTGCTGCTCCTCGAGCAAGTTGCGAATTTGCGACGCTGCAGCAATGCATATCAGTAAACCAAGGTGCAACAGGCAGGGTGTAGTGGGGCAAGGTGCAGAGTCGAAAACAGAGGATACAAATTAGTATGACCGAGCGGTGTAGAAGACGTGTCAACTTGCGGACGAGCTGAGGACAACGACACGGGCGGGGGGGGGATTGGGCCAAGCGCTAGGCGGGAAGAGAGATTACCGAGCGTGTCTCAGGGTGTGCACGCGCCACCGCCGCACAAGCCGGCCATCTCCTCCGCACTCCCACTTGTACTCAGGCTTTATATTGCATTGCTTTCTTTCGTGCATCGTTCAAGTCCCGGCACCCCTTCTCCCTTCGTTTCCTTTTCTGTGCGTGCTTTCTCTTCAGCCCCCTCTCGGAGATTGCACGCGGGTTCCATTGGCCAGATCAGCTCGCCAACCAAGAAGATGTCGTGCACAGCAACCGAGAACGCGATCCCCACGCTACCCGCCAAGGGCAACCTCTCCTTCGTCCTCGAGGCGGTCGATAAGACCTCGTTCCAGGAGCGGCCCGTCAAGCCGCCTGCACCGTTGGAGGTACAGGTCAACGTCAGGCAGACCGGGATTTGCGGATCGTGAGTTTCGTGCTGTCGTGGAAGGTCAGCAGGCCGCTTGCCTGCTGACCTTGTCCTCGTGCATCTTTCACTCGTCAAGGTGTGACCGATTCCTGGTTAGGACTCAGCTGATCAATCTTGCAATCACAGTGATGTCCACTACTGGAAGCATGGCCGAATCGGTGACTTTATTCTCAAGGCGCCCATGGTGAGGGCCATGCTCGATTTTTACCTTCTGTGCCCGAAGGATGTCGTGCGACACCAGAACCCAGCACTGATGTGTGCTTTCGTTTGTTCCCAATCTTCAATGTATTGATGTAGGTTCTCGGCCACGAGTCTGCTGGAATCATTACCTCTGTCGGCTCTCAAGTTGAGCACCTCAAAGTCGGTGACAGGGTAGCGCTCGAGCCCGGTGTGCCCTGCTTGGTGTGCGACAAATGCGTGCGTGTGTCTACCCACGCTGATGGTGATTCTCGGGGTGAACGGCATGCTGAAAATAATTTTCGATGCAACTTTCACAGCTGAGTGGAACATACAATCACTGCGCAAAGCTCGTATTCGCAGCGACCCCTCCTTACGATGGCACGCTCGCCACGTACTACAACCTGCACTCTTCCTTTGCTCATAAGATTCCCGACAACCTTACCCTCGAGGAGGCTTCGCTGATGGAGCCACTTTCTGTTGCCGTGTACAGTGCTCTAAACCGGGGAGAGGTCCGGGCGATGCAAAATGTTCTGGTATTTGGCGCAGGCCCGATCGGCCTACTTGTTGCTGGTGTCTGCAAGGCGTACGGAGCAAAGAGAGTGTGAATGATGATCTGCTGGCGTCTCTGTCTAAGGCCGCTTGGCTCACAAGACTGCATGCGTTTTTGCTTTTGCAGTGTCGTTGTTGATATTCTCGACGACAAGCTCAAGTTCGCCTTTTCCTTTGCAGCCACATCGACCTTCAAACCTTCGGCGGCAAAGGAGGACGAGAGCCAGATGGACGCGTCGGAGCGTAACGCCGCCGAGCTAATCGCCTCCCTTCCTGAGCCAGACAACGATGTAGCGCGCAAGGGCGGGTTCGACTTGGTTATGGAGTGCACCGGTGCGCCACCTTGCATCCAGATGGGCATATTTGCAGCGCGCGCGAGGGCAAAGTTCGTCCAGATCGGCATGGGCGCCAATGAGATGGCCATCCCCATCCATCGCATTGGCATCAAAGAGCTCGACATGACTGGGGTGAGTTTTACAACTTGGCAGTGCCTTTTTCTCCTTTAGTCCTGGATAGTAACCTTTGAGCATGGACTGGAATCCTTGCACATATATTCGAACGCAGTCATTCCGCTATGGCGTTGGCGCGTACGAGACTGCGATAAACCTTGTCGCAAGTGGAAAGCTGGACGTCGCCAAGATTGTCACACACCGCTACACGTTCGCTGACTGCATCAAGGCATTTGATGCCACTGCCAAGGGAAAGGGCGAAGACGGCAAGGCCGTCATCAAGGTCCAGATCTGCCAGGGTGAGGCATAAAACTAGTTGTATTCGTTTTCCTGTTGGGGCGTGCTGGCGGTCGCGCGACAAGTTATGGTTATTTGCACATTAAATTCCAAGGCATTGTATGCAGATGAATGCGAGTGCTCGATAAGGATACAGCGTTGAAGCCCCTGACTCTTGTCCCCAACAATTGATTCTGCGTTCGTCGATGCGAGATTGCGGACAAAGCGATTGTAAGCTACCTTTACGGCCGGTTGATCAAACTCAAAAATTCCTCCCGCGTCTTGGCGCGATCTCGGAAGACGCCGAGCATGCAACTGGTCATCGTCTTGGCACCCGGTTTCTGCACGCCACGCATGGCCATGCACATGTGCTCCGCCTCCATGACGACAGCCACGCCTTGCGGCGCGATCGCTTCGTCCAGTGCTAGCGCTACCTGCTTCGTGAGCCGCTCTTGGACTTGCAACCGGCGTGAGAAGGTCTCCGCTATGCGCGCCAGCTTGGAGAGACCGATCACCAGCCGATTCGGAATGTAGCCAATGTGAATCTGTGCCCGAAAAAAAATAGCCTAGCGCGTCAGTTCCACCCGCAAGTGGATGAAAAACAGACCGCAGCTGCGGCTGCTATTGATGATGCAGAGATGCGCACCTTTCCCATAAAGGGGACCATGTGGTGCTCGCAAAGACTGAAGATTTCAATGTCCTTGACAATGACCATTTCATCGTGCTCCTCATCAAAGATGGCATTGCTGATGACGTCTGCCGCATGCCAAAAAGAACATTGATAAGCTCAGGTTTCTGCTAACATGGTTAATTCCAACTCACCGCTCAGCTTCTCCTCGTATCCTCTGGTAAGATACAGTAGAGCCTTGGCGTATCGTTTCGGCGTGTCCTTCAGGCCTGGTCGATTCGGATCCTCCCCTAGACACTCGAGAATTGTTTCTACAGCCTTGGCGAGCCGCACCTGGTTCGCAGCCGCCTGTTGCGGAGTGTAGTTGAGTCGATTCAGTGTCGACTTGGCAGGCCACCCAAGGCCGTCCTTGTCCATCACGGGTGTCGAGGACCCATCTATCCCAGGCGTTTCCCAACTCCGGAGACCCAGGTTCGTGTTCTCGCCTCGCGGCGTGCCGAGGCCACCGCCTCGAGTCTGCGCAATATTAGGCAGCGACCTACCTGTGCGGGATGACGAGCGGGACATGCCATATGTGGGCGACAGAGGGCCGGTCTGGGCTGCGGCACCATGATGTAGAAGCGACGCGGCTGCTGCTGTCGCTCGCTCGGGGTCTCTTGCTTGCAGAGGGGGTGATGCAGGTGCGGAAATCGTAGCTGATCGTGCAAAGTCTTGTGCCGGCCGTCTCTCATCAGCGTCCCCGTCGGCCTCTGACCGCACGTCTTTGTCGGGTCGTTGCAAGCCCTCAGCTACTGGCCCGGGATCTCGACCACAATCTAGGCCATGTCCATCCGCCGCAACACGTCCCGGAAGCGTCCCATTGAGGTCGCTGAGATGCGCCTGCAGTAAGACGGCAGACGAAAAGGATGTACCATTCGTGCCACTGCAGCCACTCCGAAGGTCTGCCTCGGTCATGCCGGCGTTTTGCAATGCGCCCGCAAAGAAGGAGCCAAAGAAATTGGCATTCGGCTCGGGTGCTGGTCCAGAGTTTAAGGCAGGTTGAGAGTTGCTTCCTGAGTCTGCGACCGATGAATTCCTTGACGATCCAGCCTCTTGATCGTGCGACTGCAGAGGCATCCTATGATTGGGCCTAGGCGAGCAAGTCCGTTGGCGGCAATCTCGAAGATTGTTTGCTTGAGATATATGCGGCGATGCAGTATGCGTGAAGGCTAAGAGATGCAAAGAAGCTGTTTTGCAGGAGACTTTGAGAGCCTCCTTATCTGGCGTGCAATATGTGAGATGCCATTAGCATTCAGGGCATTGATGCTATGTGGAGGGTAAGAGCAACGCAAACCGCTGTCACGGAATAATAAGCATGAATAGTCAACGAACTGAGGTCTCCCAGTTGATGCCTCCAGCGATTTTTCCTGAGTGGAAATTCTGTTCCGCCACTCCATTCTGGCAAAGTGAGGTCTTTGTTAGCAAGTCATCGTTGCATCGATGTCACCACCTCCTGAAAAGCGAATGAGCATGCCTTGAGCATCCTGTGGCGACGAAGACTAAGTGGGCTTGGCACCTTCACCATCGGCCTTGAGCTGTCTACGTATTCACGAGTGAGGCATTCGTCTGACCACTATGGCCGGATTCCAGATTGCAGTGCTTCGACGTGCGTCAACGCGGGTACCATGCTCGAATCAGGGTTGGCCCCTTACGGGCCTCGTGAGCGAGTTTCGATCGATTGGCTCACGGTGGCCGGCCGCTACTACGACTCGACCTCTGCATGCTCGCACTAGTACTGCATCTGGCAATGCTGCGCCGCACAAGCGAGCCTGCAGCTCTCGCACTGCTGCCGTTTCTCGCGGGCAATCAATGCACACACCCGCTCATCTGCAAAGGCGAGGCTTGCGCACATCCCTACCCGCGCGGGAGGGCCAGGAAGCGGAGCCTGAGAAAAACGCAGGCGAGCAGAGAATCATGCAGATTCTCTCAGACAAGTTCAACCCTTCTCAGCTTGAAGTAGCAGACACAAGTGGTGCGTGCTGTTCTGATTGCGTCCGTCGGCTCGAGCGTCATGGGAATGCTCCACCCTTACGCTGTTTCGCATTTCTCTCGCAGGTGGCTGCGGGGCGTTTTATAGCATTTTCATCTCCTCGAAACAGTTCAAGGACATCTCGACAATCAAAGCACACCGCATGGTCAACGAAGAACTCAAGGATATCATTTCTGGCATTCACGGCTTGCAGGTGTGTCTTGCGACCGAGCCTTTCTGTGTAAATCAAGACTTCAGTTACATCGCTGATGGCTTCGATTCTTCTGTAACAGCTCAAGACAATAGCAGAAGATTAAAGCGAGCTGTGCAAGTCTGTGAAGCTATTAATGGGCGTTGCTGGTTAGAAATACAATATGTTGTTGCGCTTTGTGCTGCAAATATGTGGGGCATACTGATGCGTGGTGTGTGAATCAATGATACCTTATCGTCGACCAGCGAGATACGCGCGAGAGATGTTGTTCGAGATGTTCGCATCCCTCAGCACTGCAGCGGGCAGGTGCGAGCCCAAGTGGAGTGAGCAACGTGGCCAAAGTCAAGCAACGTCTGGCTGTGCTCGCGAGCACACGAGCTGAAACAAGCGAACTCACATAGCTTCTCACTCTCATCCAGGCCATGTAAAAACTCGCTCATCTCGGCACTCATGCTGCCTCCGCCTCCGGAACCTCCTCCACTGCCGTTTGCACCTGTGCCGGCAGTGGCAATAGCCGCTCTGCCGATGCCGAGCTTCTCCAGGGCGCCTCCACCGCCACCGCCGGCGGGCCCATCACCACTGCCACCTCCGCCTCCCGAGGAAACGCCGCCGCTGAAGTTCGATTCCCCGAAGACTGAAAGCGACGCGGATGAGAGATGCTGTGCACTAGAGTATACGCGAGCCAGACGCGCCAAATAGGTCTTCGAGAGCGACTCTGCGAGGTTATTCGACCTGCGCAGGTTGCATTCGCAAATGAGCATATTCAGAAAGGCATCAGCCTTCATCTGTTTTTCGTCGGTGTTATAGTATCTGAACTCCCAATCAGAGAGACACTCACAAACTGTCTATGCGCAGGCCAAGTGCGTACCACCAGTTGCAAAGGTTGCGAAGGTTGACGCTAGTTGCTTCGGCGTCGAGAGCTGCTTTTACGCGCTGAGCGTACGGTTTAGGAAGTTGCATCGTCACCAGGTCGCTTTAGTTTCATGAGACATGAGAACGCAGGAATGTGGGGAATGTCAAAAACAGTCAAAGACAGAGCAGGCAGATGCAGCGACGTGGGCGCAGCTGTAGGGAATCAGAGCGCAAAGGGAGCGAACGCACTGCATCACCATCATCTCGGCGAACCAGAACGGTAACTCTAGCCGCGTCCCCTCCTTCAGCTGTCATTTCGGTTGCCATGGTTGCCATAAGAGATCATTCAGAGGGATGATTGGCAGCGAAAAGAGCAAGGGGGTTAGTCAATTGATGTCGAGCAAACAAGAGAGTGGATTTGACCGCGAGGCATAGACGCACGTCATGCTCGTTGCCGCCGCTCAGATGCCCCAAGCCGGGAACACACAGGTTGAAAGTGCATGGGACGCGCTAGTGGTATCAAGCAGTACAAGGGGAAAACGTTAGCAGCTCCGCTCGTGGGTTGGCCTACGTTGCAGCGCATGACGTGCGGTCGCGTTGCGCTTTGAGCAGCACTCACCTGGCTATCCGCCATGATGGAGTCGATGTCCCAGTAGGAGCGCTCCATCGTTTGAAAAATATGGCTTGGGGACACACCCGACGTGCGTGTGTCGTGTGGAACACGTTGTCTGTCGAGTGGTTATATAAACCCGGCTTGTAACCAATGATGAATGCTGGATGCTTAACATCCATCACGCGATGCATTTAATTGTGAAGCGCCGATCTGTCCATGTGAGTCAAGGATGGAGGCATGTGTATGTGTATGTGCACACGTGTGCTCTCATAGCGCGTCGCGTCGCATGGCGAGGCGTGGCAGCCAGCAGGGCACGCGTTCATTGTCAGTGAGAGATAAAATGAGCGGAATGACCATTGAGCTATGGCATTAAGACATGGCTCTTTTGATGGTCACATGGTTCCCATAACCTCCAAGCTTCATTTCCAGCATTTATAACCCTATTTCGGATATTTCATGAAAAGTGGTGGTGCGATCGCTTCCCATTTCTTGCGCCGTATAGGCCATGTGCTTACAACGCTCGAATGCGCCCGCGCCGAATCATGCTAGCCGCGTTTCAACCTCTATCCACGTGGGCGGCGGGCCTCTGCTCCATTGCCGTTCGCTATCTCTATCTTTCAATCCGCGCCCCTTTTGGCTCCCGTTGTTTTGCGATGCGAGGGTGGTACGCAGTGCGGTGCGGTGCGATGCGCGCGTGCCAAAGTGCCACTCTGATGTTCTGCTCCTGCGTCGAACATGAACGAAGTTGCCTACAGTGGATGATGGGAAAAGCACGCCATGATCTCTTCGACCACCCCAGCACACCGCATAGCTGCCCCTCTATCGCTGCCGGGGTGTTTTGTACTATTCGCAAAGCGTGATAAGCGGTGAATCATGTGACAACACAGTTTCTGGGGCCGTCAGGCGCATCCATAGCAATTCGCCATCCGGGCTGACATATTAATAACTTTGACATATCGACAGAGAGTCGGTCGCCAGGTATGTATTGGGCGGTGGTCGCCCGCGTGCTGCAATTTTTCCGGGAGTCTTCGACCAACTGTCCCTTTCTTGGCTAGTAGCGACCATGGTGAGCCGTTGCGCCGCCCGTGCAGAATACCCCACATTCTTTCTACTGAACGCCGCGATGCCCTTGTTTCGCGACGGCGCAGCATTCGTTCGCAAAGAAGGCGCACGGCAAGAAAGGAAGTGGCAAAGGAAAGGCGGCGCTGAGCCCCGGAAGATTGGACAGCCATAAATAGGATCAACATTGTGCCCTTAAACGGTCGATATCAACCCCAAGGCCTGAAATCTACCTCATCCCTGCACCCGAGTAACTTAAGCTGAAACATCTCAAAGCATTGCGTAAACCTGTGCAGGGTCACAGAAAAAATGGCGGAGACACACCTACAGGAATCCCTGCTCGCTATCGCTGCCACCACCATGGATCAGATGCAAGCCTTACCTACGGTCAACAGTGCTGCTGATGGCAGTGAAAGCGAAAAGACGACATCCATCCCCGCTGACAGCAAGAGGGACAGTAAGGAACAACACCTTGGCGACAAGGTTGCCGGCGTCGCTACTGCGGACCGTACGATCCCCCCTCCGACAGCTGCAAAGGTCGCGTCGGTGCTCGAAGAGTCTGCAATTGACTCAGTAGAGGAAGGCGACGAGCTGACGGGCACGACACAGCTCCAGATCGTCAAGGGCAACCCGGTCATCCGTAACGGCTTGGACGTGTCGCGCTTCATTGTCTCGATCCGCGATGATGAGGACCCCGCGGTAACATTCCGAGCGATCTTTCTGGGCACCGTCTTTACCGCATTCGCAGCCGTCATCACGATGATCTACGTCTTCAAACCAGTGCAGATGCAGGTTTCCGCGGTCTTTCTCCAATGTAAACAGGGCGTCACGGCGTAGATGCGTGTGATTCGCGTTTTTACTTATATTCCTCTCGGCCCCTCTTCAGTACTCATTTACGTCTTCGGTGTCGCCTGGGCCAAGCTGACACCGAATCCCGGGAAGATTAAGAATCGGCCAGTGCGCTCCGTCCTGACATTTCTCAATTTTGGTCAACCCTTCAAGATCAAGGAGCACGTCATTGCGTCCCTCATTTCGGCGTCGTGCGTAGTCACTGGTGAACTCAATGGCTCCCGCTGATGTCGATGCTGATTTTTCTTCTCCATTGCAAAGTCGAAACAATGGGCTGTCGGGAGTCGAAATGTAAGCCATACCCTGTGCATGCTAGCTGCTGCTCGACCAGCATGGGCATACATTGTTTCCTCTCCCACAACTCTTCCAGCTACGCCGTGCAAAATCTGTTCTACGACAAGCCGCTCTCGGCGACCACCGCTGTCCTGGGCACGTTCTCGCTCACTCTGTGCGGCTTTGTCATCGAGGGCGTGCTACGCTCGCTGATCGTCTATCCATCTGAGGCAGTTTACTGGACGACACTCCCGCAACTCGTCCTCTTCCAGCGGCTCCACTTTGACACCGAGGGAAACAAGAAGCGCCTCAACAAATTCTCTTGAGCCTTCCTCGCCTCTGCCGTATGGGAAGTCTTCCCGGCGTACCTCATCCCCTTCTTCAATGGCGTTTCTGTCTTTGCCTTGCCTCTATCGGTGCACCCGACTTGACGCGCCAGGTGTTCAGCATCATCTTTGGCGGGGTGGGTTGGCATCCTCCACCCCACAACGATGTGTGTTAACACGAGCTGACGCGTGCATTGTGGTTCTATCTTTCACCTTAGGCAAGCTCAAACGAGGGCATCGGTTTCCTCAACTTCTCTCTTGACTGGCAGTAAGTGCTCCCAGTCTTGTTTTGTAGCCCTTCACTGATGTCATGCCACTCGCGGCGCCCGCAGGTACATCACATCCACAGCAATGAGTCTGCCCCTCAAGCAACAAGCCAACTCGTGTGTCGGGTTCGTCATATTCCTCATCATGATGCCCCTGCTCTACTACAAGGGTGTCTTCAATACGAGGGGTTCGTTTTGCTTCGAGGACAATTGTCGAAGCGCTCGACAAGAAGGCTGACCTTTTGGGACTGCATTTTTCCGCAGACCTTCCCTTTATGTCATCATCTCTCTTTAACCAAGACGGGAGCCGGTTCAAGGTGACCTCGGTGTTTGGCTCTAATACCGAGATTGACCTCTCGAAGCTAAAAGAATTCGGTCTGCCGCGCATCAACTCCAGCACAGCCTGGGGCTACCTGACGCAGAACATCGCTATCGGTGCATTGATTGCGCATGTGTTCATATTCTATCGCAAAAGCCTCTGGGTTTCTCTCAAGTCCGCACGTGCCGGTACCCTCGCCGATCCGCATTTCCTGGCCATGCGCAAGTTCAAGGAGGTACCGATATGGTGGTATGGTATTATTTTTCTGCTTGTATTCATTGCGGGTATCGTCGTGAACGCCATTGGCGATACGACTCTCCCCATATGGGCCTTCATCGTTGCACTCCTCTTTGGCGCTTTCATGGCACCCTTCTGTGAGCCTCCTGCGCAGTGCCCTTGTGCTACTGCATCCAGTGTGCTTATATGACGGCGTCGCCCTGCAGCATGCATACTGTATGCACTCTTTGGCACCGGAATTGGCACCAATCAGCTGTCCAAGTTGGTCGGCGGCGCACTAGTACCTGACCGTCCCTTGGCGAACCTCTACTTCGCTGCATGGTCTCACCAACTCATTCTTCTTGCTGTTAACCTCGCCAACTGGCTCAAAGTTGGCCAGTATACGAAGATCAGCCACCGTGCTATGTTCTTCACGCAGATCTATGCAAGTCTGCTCGGCGCCGCGTTCAACTACATTGTCATGGCCGTCATCGTCACCAGCAAGCGAGAGATCCTGCTTGATCCGATCGGCAACAACGTTTGGAGCGGCGCGACCGTGCAGTCGCTCAACACGCAGGCGTTCACATGGGCGCTTGCCAAGGACTTTTATTCGCGTAACTCCAGCTACTTTATCGTACCCATCTCTTTGGTGATAGGTCTCGCGTTTCCTGTCCTGCATTGGCTGGCCATCAAAGTGTGGCCGCGTCTTCGCAATGTGCCTATTGTGAGTGCCTTCAGCCGACATGCCTGGAGGTTGCTGTCGAGGGGGCATTCACTGACTCCATCCATTTATCTCGCGACAGACTACCCCGATCATTGCCAGCTACGCCGGCATGGCCTACGTTGGGAGCACGTCGTACATCTGCTCAACCGTTGTTGTCGGCCTGCTGAGTCAATGGGTTTTCGGCAGACGCTACCCGGGCTGGCACAACAAGTACAACTACCTCATCGGCGCAGCGCTCGATGGCGGAAGTCAGACGGTCATTTTCATCCTTTCCTTTGCAGTTTATGGCGCCAGCGGCGTCACGCGTAACTTCCCGACCTGGTTTGGCAACCCAGCCGGAAATATGGACCACTGCTTGTGATTCTCCCCTGTAGGATCTCGCACTGTGCGAGGTGAGGTTGAACACATGGTGCAGGAAGCGTGCCAGGTTTTGCTCAGATACAAGTTCTACTGTTCTTCGAATCGTTGTATCTCATGGGGTTTCAAATGAATATGGATTAGTCGCTTTGATGAGTGCGTTTAAGTTCCACTAGGAACTTGCAACGTCGTGTATGATGTCATTTCAATACGCGAGCGGACAAGTCATGAGCTGGTTGAGAATGCATTCACGCCTGAACCAGAGCTGCTTGATCAAATCCGTGTAGATCTGTTCGAAGGGCCTGAACTGGAATCTCAAGTAGTTCTTAGCCTTGGCGTTGTCAAGGTGGTACAGTCCCAACTTGTCTTCTATGCTCATCTTCAGCTCACCCATGGGCGCCCTTTCGACCTGTTGCGCGTCGACCTTCCGCGCAAAGTCAACAACCCGCTGGCTGTCGAATGAATCGTTGTTGAGTTAGAAGAGCGCTTCGGGGCCTGTTTCGAGCGCTGTATCATCCGCTTCGCCAATGTCGTGCACGTCTGTATACACAGGGAATCCAGTCGGTGGGAGTTCGGAGCCTGGCTTGCGATTGCGCGGGTCCCAGCCTTCCTGTAGCGATTTGATGAGCGTATGCTTGTTCTCGGGTAGAACGTACGACTGAGGTCGTCATGGCACGGCGTGGCATGGTTTCCGTCAGAAAAATCGACAGCGACTGCAACTGAACAAACCGATGAAGACTCGCGGGGTCGTAAATCATCGGCGGATACATTGTAGAGGCCGTGAACTCTTTCCATTAGGTCTCTGCAAAGCGGTACACTTTGCATTCTGCAACCGTTTCGGATGCACCTGCGGATGAGAGCGGACGGAGGAAGAAGCATACCCACATAATCAAACTTCCTATTCTGGGAGAGAAAAATTATTGAGAAAGGAACACACAGAAGCCAACGACGGCGGCCATGCCGCCGCTCGTATTCGCCTCATCTTCGTACGTCAATGGGCCCCAGTCCTCCTCGGTGAAGGCTTTGCCAAGGTACAGCAATTTCTTATCGCTGAGGTCAAGGACAACGCAAATGAGGAAGTGCCGACGATGTGCTTGACAGTGTTGGCATTTTTTGGCAGGGGTGAGCACGTTTCGCGTGCCTTCTAACGCGGGCTTAAGGAAGGCCCCCTAGGAATTCGTGCCGTGGAGGTGGAACGGAGAGGCGGCGGTAGTGTCTTTCATCGCAGAGCTATATTCGCCTTCAATACATCCTGGACGGTGGCGAACGCCACTTGGCCGGTCGGGACCGCATCTTTGAAAAAAGGATGTGAGGCTACATCGTCCTCTTTTGCCCGAGCCGGTATCGCACCCTGCACCTTGCAGGCGCGGTCCAGGAGCGATTTGGTGACTGCTAAACCAACATAGGACGAGCCACAGGTGAGAACGATCCAGCCAGAAATTGCTGATATGGTGTTGAGCAATGATGCAGGGTTAACCTAGAATGCGCCGCTGTTGAGCGTGGATGAAAGAGGCTAGCAGATCGTCAGCAGTGACAGGAAGTGAATTTGATCAGCGCATTCAGAATATATACATGGCAGCAAACGGATTGTCCACCTAAGCGCCTCTGAGTCTCGAATTTAGTAAACAAGTGTAAGGTCTGATCAGACGCAATGCGAACGGGCTTTTGTTGATGCGTTGATGACGGAAGAGAGGACGAGCAACGAAGGAGCAAATTGCGAACGACTACAGTACATTCCACTTTATGGCCGCAGACGCTTGAGAATCAGCAATCAGTTTGGTAGAGCGGGTTTTGATGATGATCCGGGATGCAGTCGCTGTACATTGCAAATGAGAATCACCACGTGTAGCTACGCCGTTGCGATCGGAACAAAAAGATTTTTAAAGGCCCACCAACCAACCTACTCCACTTGTTGTCAATTCCCGTTGTTCCCCGAACATTTTCACTCCTGGGAGCAGGTTCTACGGTGCTTCTGCTTGGCAGTTTGCAGTTGGCGTCATAGTCGCCTGCGACGGCCTGAACGTGAGAGAGGGTGATGTTCGGCAGTGGAGAAGAGCCAAGGAGATCCTTAGGTGGGGCCAAGGTTAAGATGCCTGCAGGCGTAACCCTAGGTGTACACCCCTCACAGCCACTGAACTCGTGGGGTCTGGGGAAAAGCTAGGAAAAGTCAGTATGTCCTGCCTCTCGTTGGAACAGCATTAACTCTAGTGGGTCGACCTCGAGCTAGCGCACTTTAGTCTCAAGCGCCAACTGATGCCAGACAGGTAAAGGACGTGTTTGAATTGTTCAGTGGGCCACCAAATACATGGATTCAAACAGGCATACATCAACACCTGTTCTAAATCTGTCGCAGATGCGCTGCGGCGAAGATACTTAAGCATACAGACTGGTCGAGTTGATTCAGGTATCAGTCGGTCTTGGGCGTCCATTGAATAAAAATTTGGTGGTCAGAAGGGGAAGAACTACGGCCTGCGAACAAAGAGGATCGAAGCACTACCGGAGCGTATGGATACAGGGGTTGAGATGATAGAGTAGCAAACAGGGCCTGAGGAAGAAGCTCCGTGTCAGCGGGACACCCGGTGGATAAGGTAGATAAAACCATGCCGACATTCACAATTTCCCATCTGCATTAAGCGAAAGAGAATGCCGATCGGAAGGCCCTTTTAGATCAACAAACCTCCCCCGAAGGCGACGCCGCCGAGCACAACGACAGCTGCAGCCGCGATTGCACCTCGCGAAGCCGGGATTCCCATGGCATTCGTAACAGCAGCACTGGATTGAGTTGGGCTGACGGTGACAGTACTCAGGGTGGGCGTAATAAAGCTGCCTGTCGAGCTTGGTGTGACGGTGTCAGTGCTGTACGAGGTAACGGTGCTGGTCGATGTGGATGTATTTTCCGTTCCAGGCAAGGAAGTAGCGTTGGCTGGACCAAGAGTCGATAGGATCGTCAGAGGGTTGGTGATCAACGGACGCGAGGTGACGGGCCCGATCGGCGAGGCGGACTGGGCATGTACTACCAACAGCAGGCTGAATATGAGACAGAGAGCTGGAAGACATCGGGTCATGGTTGCGTGGGGTGTAGATGTCTGTGACGGGTATGACCACTGTAAAAGAGTCCCAATGAAAAGGCAGATTCCAAGGAGCAGAGCGAACAAGCATGTGAGCAAAAGCATACACAGAACCTGTGAGTTCGAGTGGGGGTGGTGAGGTTAGTCTGCTTCCCATTTTCCTCACCATGGTCCGTTTATTGACTCGTTTGATCAGCTAGAGGTGAGGCGCCGCATACAGAATTTGGTTCTATTGTGCGCAAATGGCAGATATGTATATATGCCTACCGGGTGGATTGAAAGTTACCGATGAGAGCTGCTGCCGGATATGTCTCTCGCTCCATTCTCCAGCAAGTCATGGTTGCAGGCGTCTGGTGGCGTGGACAAGGACAGCCGCCGTACAACGCGTGACACTCATCGACCGCCGCGCCATGTGGCATTCAACCACGTGACAGGCGGCTGCTGTGTGGCTCGTGCACTAGCAGTGGACAGTGCTGTGATGCCTCTAACGAGGGTCTCCGTCCCTTCTCGGCGATCGGCGCACTGTGGCAGGCAGCGCAGGGCAGTGTCGTGGCCCGTGTAGCCACTGGCGAGCTGGGGCAGAGGGCTGTCGGGGACAGCGGCGGGACAGTCTAATAGTGTCCCGGCCATCGGAAGGGTAATATCATTTTTTCCGACTTCGAAATTCGAATGCCAGTATTACATATCCGCTTGTTACCACTCATCAAACCATTTTCACTGTCACTTCTCCCGCAGAGCATGCTCCTGGCTTGCATACGCGCACGTCCAATCAGCGACTCGATTTTGCATATATGTGTAGCTCTACAATGCATCATCCTCTGACCTGGTCACCATTGATATTGGTAGGTATCCTGCCCGTGGCCGGACGGCTGACTATGGATTGTTCAATAAGCATTCAGCTCGGTGTGTGTGCCTCTTGCTTCAAGTTTTCAAAGTGGTACATTCTGGAACGGTATTCGACTCTCGAAGGCCGAACGAAAGCTTTTACAACTCCCGCCGAACGAATTTTGTGCCTTGAGAATGCTTGCAAGCTCATGTCGGGAAAGAGTTGGCTGGCGTCTTGGTGCTGACGAGCTCAGAGGCTGGTAGCCGTAAGAGCAACAAATCCGCGACGTTGCCAGCGGGAAGCTCCAACGTCAACGTGTCAACACCTCTATCGCGAAATCGGCATCGTTCGCATCGATTATGAGCCTGCTTCCTGAAGCCTTTGAAATCCAAGTTGCCCCCCAAACGTCCATGGACCAGGTGTGAGGAAGTGAGGCCGGAGCATTGTGTCTAGCTACGTACACATGTACGCATCGAGTCCTCACGAGTGCCGCGATTAAGCGTCTTGCCTTCAAGAACAAAATCTGGCGGCCGGTGGCTGATGAACTACTGAGTCCATGATGCATTTCTTCTGTATTCTGTTGCCTTCTTTTCGTTCCCCGTGCAAGAAGCCCCGGTTTGGATGTTGACGGCGACAGCATTTTGGAATTGAGCAGCTGGTGGATTGTCCTGTGCGTAGGCTTCCCTGCGAAACTTTCGCAGAGGAATGAGCAGGCCAACCAAACGCTTTTCGTGTTTCTGGTTCCTGCGGTCAGTGCAAACTGAGCTAAATGATTCACCGCCTCAACTGCATCTCTAGCACAGACGTAGTACAAGAGTCACAAGCGGAGAAGAACAGTCGCGTCATCGGTGCGGTCGTACCGTATCCCGTCATTCTCCCCATAGTGATTCCGCAATTTGCGCAGTCACCAATTGATTAGGCGAATCCGGCTTTGCCACGGATGCAGATGTCAACACTCTTCTC